AGAACAGTTGTTAATCCTTTCCTACATGAACGGCTTAATGATTGTTTGAAACATGCTCTGTTCTTGTTTTTTCAGCTGTTCAGTGTTTAATGAATGATCATTTCATTATTTTGGTGTTCTGAGTTCATAGTGGTAGGACAGGATAAAATATGAGATACTTTTGAATATACATATCTAACTTTCTTCCATTTGCAGGTATATTTTGGGATCTAAGGAGTTCTTAGAAAGCCCTCTAAAGAGATGTGTAAAGTTTTAAGGAGTGAATGGAAATAAGATCTGTAAAGGATATTATTATATTTTTTATAATACTCATGAAGATACAATGTCTTGCAGGAAGTTTTCTCTCTACTGAGTTAAAATAAGTATGCGTTGCGTTACATAAAGCATTTATTAACAGTCATAACAGAGTGATTCCTATTCATTTTAAGTGAGTTCTGAAAGAGTCTTAAATTAATTGTAAAAGGTTTTATGGAAATTTTCTATCTGTGTATTGGTAATTCCCAACAATTAACTATTACTGGAGTTCTCATGTGAAGAAGATTTTTTTAAAAAAAAATGTCTGGATATTTATGAACTTTCAAGGACACTGCTTGCAAGAAAATTTCCAGACTGAGTGAACTTGAAGGAACAGGAAGAGTTATATAAATATGGAAGTGGGTAGAATTCTGGTTGCTGACAATTGGTCAAATTTGATCAGTGCTGATAGATTACAACAGGATGTGGTACTGGGAAATTTCTATGTCTGTATCTACTCTTTCAAGTATGCATTTCCAGAGCAGGTAGTTTAAAAATAGAAGCATAATTTATTTCTGACTTTTTTCTACATATGAGAAAACTGTAAGAATTTTGATTAAATCGTATTTCAGATTGTTTTTTCTTTTTTTTTTTCAGAGTTAACAAGTAAATTGACAATTGCCTCAAAAGAGCGCCTTGCTTAATGCCTTGTTATATTTTTAACTCTCTCATGCATTTCTGTAGTGAAGGAAACAATTAAAAAGTAACCAAATAAAATAATTTTTCAAATATGGGGAGGTGCATTTCCTTTTTCTTTGCAACTTAATGACTGTTTAGAAAAAAGGATTAAGAGAATAAACTCACTGTGCTTTGAATTTGTTAGGCCTTTTCTCACTATATGCCTTATTTTTGTCAAAGCAATAGGATCAAGATTTAAATTAGTGACATGTCAGCTTAGCATAGGTAATTAAAATTAACTTTCAAAAAAACACTTAGGAAATATTTCTGTTCTAGGTTTATGTCAGAAAGATTACTCTTCTATCTTTAGCTGGAATTTATTTGCTAAGTCAGAGATTATTTTTCTTCCTTTGTTGACTCATCAAATCTGAGCAGAGACCATTCATCAATGTGGACTGCATGCACCCCACCACAGTTGCCATTTGGACTTTCAGGTGCTGTTGTGCCTCTTTTGGTTCAGGGCAGAGCTGGCTCATTAGCAGCTGTAATCCAGGCAGGTTGGTGACATGAGTTTTACTGAAGGATTAACATCAGCTATTACTAATTTATTTTTAGTAGATCTTCAGATCTATTCCCTTTCTCCTTTTCCAATGTGATTGTACAAACCTGTTCTGAGCAGTATTTCAGGCACTGCCATCGTCTTGACAGGTGAGCTAGCATGAATTGAAACTTTCCTTAGGCAGTGGTAGTTTGAGATTGCTGTAATTTTACTTTTCCATTTTGTGATTTGTAGTCCCAAGGTTAAGGAAATTCTGCGTTTGAGTAGCAGCTGTGGCATGCAGGTGTTTGAAGAGCACTATGTCCTGAATCAGCTAAGTTACATAGACAACTATGTTGTACCTCTGCTTTGGCCCCTATTTTCTTTATATGTTTTTGAGAAGGTTATAGTCAGGGTGACACGGGTGTATAACTGAGCATGTCTCATATTTCCATTCTTCAGCAGTGCAGAAGCACTGTGGAAATGCAATTCACTGCTACTATTTTACACATGCTTATGAGAAGATATCACCTGCTACTGTACGAGGCCAAACTAGCAGTGTCAGCACTCAAGTAGCATGTAAGTAGAAAAAATAGAGTAGCTATATGACAGGCTGAGGCAAATGTCACCTGCTTTTTTGACAAGTAGGTGGAAGGTTATTGTTGATTCAACAATATAAATACCAGGATTGAAGTTGTGGAAAACGTAGTCTGCCTTTTATATACATCTCTTCTGTTCTCCCTTGGGCTTTCTAAAACGCTTGTCTGGATAAAATCTGGCTTGATCAGCACATACATGGTTATCCATCTTTGTCTATATGCATGTAAGGGTTGAATCCCCCAAAATCTTAAAGCTTAGAGGAAACAAAAATATTAGTAGACGAGTAATTATCTGACCAGAGGGAACCTGGTTTTGGTAGGAGAGTGCTTTTTGAGCCAAAAGCAAGAATATGGAAAAACCTGTTTTAGGAATTTCAGAACTGTTACCCTCCTTGTGAGGTTGCCAGACTTCACACTGAGTGATATGTAAGGCCCACATGGCCAGTATCCCTTCTCTGTACGTGGTCAGTAAAGTAGTGAAAGTTGCTTGACAAAGTCAGAAACAGCAGATCTGACTTAGGGTCCTCAAACCGGTCAGCTATATGGCTCTTCTGGCAATCAGCTTAGGGACTTGCAGTCAGTGATTTAAGAACAGTACACTGCCTGTGCTGTCACTATGTGTAGTGCTGGGGAAAAGATAGTTTCCATTAACAGAGTATCTGCCATTTGTTTTCCCTGATACTGGTTCTGGTAAGTCATTTCCCATATTTAGGTGCTTTCTGGCAACTTAGCTAGCTGGTCTGGTGTCACAGAAGGGGAAGTCTGGTCGTTGTCGGGCTGTGTTAAGTAGGCAGGGTAATTCCAGTACTTACCAGGAGACTGATGAGAGGTGGGGGTTTTTTTTTTATTTATTTATTTTTATTTATTTATTTTTTTTTTTTCTCTCTCTTCAGTTGCCTCTCTCACTGACCTGTCTCAGGAGCATTCAGCAGATCAGCAGCTACTGAAATAGCTTTCAGGGTGCAACACCTACTGCAGCAGTGTCTGACGTGTATAGATCCAGTTGTGGATAGTAGATGTACATACTGTATGAAATGAAAGCACAGTGAAAAAGCTGCTTGCTCTGCTGGGATATGATTGTCATGATAATATGCTTTGTGGTGTCCCAGAATTCCTCCTATTTCCCTGTGAAAAGGTTTTTTTATCTTATTTTGTGAATATTTTTGACTATTCTATCAAGATTCACCTAAGAAGGTGAATATATGAAGATGTCACATGCAGGTAGCCATATGATTGTACTAGGCATGTAGCTGTGCTTAGGAATAGTGTTTTCCAAATGCCCATTTTACTTGCAGTTTGCGTCTGGTTCTTGGTGGCCCTGGGTGGTACAAGAGCAGTTGAGTTGGCCTAGTTGGTTGGTGAATGTGCTGTTGTACCCTGTCTATAGTTGGATACTTGGACAACTTTGTGATTTGGAGTCTGTGGAAGATACTAGCCTCCAGGGTGTGATATATGTGATATTTGAGCAAAGGTAAATTGCACGGACCCATTTGGTGTGAGGTCTCTGACAGCAGGTTATTTGATAAAGCATTGATTGGTAAATCCCTGCCTCTTCCACCAAAGTAAGAATCTCAAGGAAATATAAACATGACTTTAAGCTTTCCAGGAAGGACAGGCCAGGAAGGAGAGGTGACGGAGTTGCCCTTTACATGAGAGAGAAACTGGAATGTGTGGAGCTCTGCCTACAGGAGGATGGAGCATGAGTCAAGATCCTGTGGGTGAGGATTAAAGGGCAGGCCAACAGGGGTGACACTGTCATGGGAGTTTACTACAGGCCTCCTGACCAGGATGAAGAAGTGGATGAGGCCTTTCTACAGGCAGCTTCAAGAAGCCTCATGATCACAGGCCCTGGTCCTCCTGGGGGACTGCTAGACCTGATACTAACAAACGGAGATGGTCTAGTGGGAAATGTGAGGATTGGGGGTAGTCTTGGCTGCAGTGACCACGAGATACTGGAATTCATGATCGTGCGTGGAGAAAGCTGGGCAAGAAGTAGGATGGCAGCCCTGGACTTCAGGAGAGCCAACTTTGAGCTCTTTAGGGAGCTCCTTGGAGGAATCCCCTGGACCATGGCCCTAGAAGGAAACAGGGTCCAGGAGAGTCAGCTAATATTCAAGCACCACTTTCTCCAAGCTCGGGGTCAGTGCATTCCTACAAGAAAGACATCAAGTAAACCTACCTGGACGCCACGCTGTGCCCCGTGCTCTGCGTGTCCCTGCTGGAGCAGGGGGGTTGGAGTACATGATCTCTAGAGGTCCCTTCCAACCTCAACCATTCTGTGATTCTGTAAATTGAATTTATGTTGTTGAGTAAGAAATGCCAGTGAAGTTTCACTTATTGACAGTTCGTCAATATCTAATCACTTCTTTTGACATCTCCTATCTGCATAATCACTGTTTAAATTTTAAATGACTCTAATAATCAATTAGTATAGCTGCACTCTGTCTGCCTTTTGTGTATAAGCAGTTTGACTGTAAAGATTTTTGATTAGCTGGTGACTATATTTTCATATCCCAAGATGCTCACAGCAACATTTCTGTGTGGAGAAAATCTGTTTTTGCTCTGGGTGCTTGGGCGCTGACTCAGGCTGTAGTCTTATCACGATGATATTCAAGGAATATATATCTGTTAGGAAACAGATGGCTTTGTTACTTGACTCTTGTCAAATGCAAGGTGGAGCTATTCTGAAATGTAAAACATGGCATTTAACATATTTGTATTGTGGCTGTCTTGGTGAACTGAAGCATATGAGAGGTGAGATAGGTTGATGCAGCTGCCTTGAGGCTACCAGCAAAGAAACCGACTTATTATTTTAGTGGGAGTGAAACTGTAGATGTTAACCTACTTAATGTCCACAAAGAAAAGGTATTCACTGAAATTAATTTTATTATTGTAGTCATTTTATAAAAATTAGTAACTCTTGATAATATTTATATGTATCTTGTTACCAGCTCTTCCATATTGCCTACATCCTTATCAAGTTTGCAAATTCTCCTCGCCCAGATCTCTGGATCTTAGAAAGATCAGTGGATTTCGGAAGAAGTTACACTCCCTGGCAATATTTTGCTCGTGAGTATCAACTCTTGTGCCACACTGTTTATAGATGAGTTCTTTAGTTATTTACACAGTAGCAGGAAAATCAGCCCACAAGTCTCACTGAAGTTTTCAACTGTAGCAAACTAATGCCAAGTGTATTTCTCCTGTCCTACCTATCTGCAATAAATTACTGACAAGAGTGTAACTGAAAATGATATTTTGACATATTTTGCAGAAATTTTCCATCTTTTTTCTTTTTTTTTTGATTTTGTTCTCTTAATATATTAGAGTTGCAGTATTATGCATCCTAGTGGACGCCAAGCTTATTTACAAAAATCAGAGTGAGATATAAGCAAGGCACCTTGGAACATGTGTAGGGTTTTTTTTAAGGTTAGTAATGGAAAGATGATGCAGACCCTTGTCAGGATGAGACTCACAGAATGGTTGAGGTTGGAAGGGACCTTTAGACATCATCTAGTCCAGCTCCCCGGCTCAAGCAGGGACACTGAGAGTACCTAGGGAAAAAAAATATTGTTAGTATTGACCATTTTTCTGTAGTAATATTTGTGTATTCCTGCACTGAGTGAAGCAATCACTACTATCATCTACTAAGGCTGAGAATTCACATGAAAGCACAGGCAGGATATCTTTTGTAATTGAAGTTTGAACAATAATGTATGTTTTCACATGCAAAAATAATTTCAATCTTACCTGACTAGACTCCAAAGCAGATTGTTTGGAACGTTTTGGAAAGGAAGCTAATGTTCCTGTGAGGAGAGATGATGATGTCCTTTGCACTACAGAGTATTCTCGCATTGTGCCTCTCGAAAACGGAGAGGTAAGTGCTTTTAGAGAACTAGTGTGGGATGCTGAAAGTAAACAGCATTTTATTTTTGGAACTTTACTCTTTCAGTAAGCACCTAAAAATGAAGTTGATTTTCAGTTATGATTGACTGAAACTACTTTAATAAATCAATAATGAGGCACTTAAGTGACTCCTACCAACTTTCTCTTTCCCTTCACTGTGTGGGTGGGGGCTTTTCAGAGCCACCTGTGTTATTATTTATACACCTTACTTTAGACATGTGCATTTGAACCTGCTGACCACATTTTCTGAATGGTTCCAATATATACAATATAACTTATTGCATAGGAATTCCTCATAGGTGTAAAGGGTGTAGAAACAGATATCAAACATTCAAGACAAAGTAACTGTAAGAAAACATTACAAATGTATTACAATACATTAAAAATGGTACTTGTTTATAATGGAAACATATGTTTGGAAAGCTGCTTTTCTGATGTTAGCAGTTGTTCCTTCCTAGGCAGAAGCCTGTCTTATGTTATTTGAACAAATGTTAAACTAGTGGTCATACCTCTCTCTCTGTCATTTTCTTTTTATTTCTGGTGAAATTAGAATACAGATCTGATCCCCTTCAGAGTTCCTAAGAGTTCTAAGGTTTCTAAAGTTGCAATTTAAAATTGAAGTAGAAATTGTCTACCAACATTTCTTTAAAATTGTCCTAATAATATGTTTTATTAATAATTCCTGTAGAAAATCATTGCCAGTGTCATCCCCTGTTACATGCTGTGACCCTTTTCCTAAAGAAATGTACTATAATCAGATGTCACCAATCTACTGTTACCTGCTCATGGATTATAGGAGCATTTTAGAAATAGAAATCTGTTATTTCATCAATTATAAATAAATGAAAATCTCTTACTTGTGTTCATGCATACTGGCTTATTAATTTAACAGATTCATGATTTCTAGACTGCAGACATCAATTTCTTTCAAAAGTACAAAATACTGCAGCACTTGTTTTGAATGTCATACAAGCCTGCTTTCATGTGAAGGGATTCTCTAAAGTTACACTGTGTACTTTATTCCAGAAGACCATTAATACACTCCCAGGCATTGGACCTGGTTAACAATAATATTTTCCAGGAATGTTTGTGCCTTAACCCAAAAATAAATGTGCTTTGGGAAGGAGCCAAAATCTGATGTTTTTACTCAAGCAAAACTCCTATTGACACGATCAGCTTTTAACATTAATGTTTGTGACTATTTATATTGTTATTTCCTATTAAAAAGTATGGGTGGTTTTTTTGTGCATCCTACCCATTCTTTTCAAAACAGAGAGGCACTCAGTTCTGAATGCGTGATCCAGAGAATGAGAATTCAACGAGGTTCAAGACTAGTGACTCTGTTTTTACTGATGTCCTCATTTTAGTATGAAAAGTGTAGTTGTTACTGCAGATATACTCAGAAGCAATAGCAAATTTTTGGATTCATTTAGCAGTCAGACTTTTGGCTTTGTGCCTACTGCTGATACCTGCAGCTGATACGTTTTAACAAGTATGTGTTTATTCTTTCAATAGATTGTAATATCCTTGGTAAATGGCCGTCCAGGAGCAAAAAACTTCACTTACTCCCCTACCCTTAGAGAATTCACGAAAGCGACAAACATCCGCCTTCACTTTCTCAGAACCAACACACTCCTTGGACACTTGATATCAAAAGCTCAGCGAGACCCCACTGTAACCCGCAGGGTAAGTTCTCTTCTCACAGGGATAGATCCCACAGTTTTATTCAGCCTCTTAGAGAGCATGAAATAAACTGAACTTCTTCAGTTTGCAAACATCATAGCAATCAAAATCCCCATGTTTTCTCCACCCCTGCTTGTGATGAAATGGTAATTGGGATAACACAGAGTTTGAAGAACAAGTGAAGGGACTTGTGTGCATCATGGAAACTACAAGGGGCCAAAGTGGAGATTATCCTGCTCCTCAGTTCTGTATAAGATAGTAAACTATTTGACTTTGTCAGCTTTATTTTATACTGCTATATATTATCTACTAGAAGAAAGATTTTCAGAAATTGTACCTGAGTTTCTGAAGGAAGAGTGGATCAAAGGGTATTCTGGAAAGGTGCAATCTGACCACAAATCATTTGAGATACATTTGAGCTGAGATTTGGGGCAATTCAAGGGAAAGACAAAATCCCCTTCCCATTCAGTGGGAAATATATATGAAATATATAAGGAAAATATAGGGAAATTCAGACCCCTCAGGGGAACATTGCACAGAATTTCGTATTCTTAAACTGATTCCAGACTTCATATTGCGTTGTTATATTTAAAATGAAGATTCAGTAACAATTGGAGGAAATGCTAGGCTGAGGCACTGCACAAATAAATGTGGTTTTCTGTATAAGAAATTGTGAAACTATTCCAGTTACTTGCTAGCATTAATTACCTTTATTGTCTTAAGTGCATTTTAAGATGTTGCTTACAAGCAGATGTAAATGGAGTACTTAGGTTATTTGGCAAGCAACATAGTTTTAGTGTAAGGAACTTGTCATGTTATTGTGGCCAATAATAAAATAAAAGTCCAGATTTTTATTTAAAGATAAATAAAAGATCCAGTTTTTATTAAATTGATTAAAAAAAAAAAAAAAAAAGTTCATTATGGAAACCTCCAAAGTCTAGAAAAAGAAGTTAATATTCTGAAGGAGAGTCTGTGCATTTAATTTATTATGGACACAACTGAAAACCAGACCTGTCTGTCCTACTGTCCAAGAAACTGCCTGGCTTTTTCTGTTAAAGGTTTGAGTTTATGAAACTCTGAATTATCTAGGATATGTTTTATGTCTAAACTGTAATAGTTTGGCCTATTACTAGTTTTGACCTTTTGCTAATTTGACTTCCTACTGATCTGAACTGCAAAATTTTCTTTTTGTTCTCCTCATCCTCCAGTGGCATTAAAAATAAATCTACCCCTTTATTCCTGGAGATACATAGAGATCAGGACTTACCTGTGCTCAGTGTGGCTCCTTTCTTAGGTGGCTAAACTGGTGCCCTAGGGCGACAGGGAAACAACTTCAGAGCTATCAAAAGAGATGCAGAAGCTACTACTGAAATGTTGATACCGGTGATATTAACACTGAGTCAAAGTGATTAAATTTTTATCTCCTATTGCCCAGCTGCCTGCAAGCCATGAGGATGAGATGTGGAGTATTTCAACGTCAGGTCATAAATTTAGATGGGTTGTGAGTCATGAGGGATTCTGTCTGATTTGGTAACCTCAATCTATTTCCAACGCTTAGTGATCATGACTCAGTGAGTGGGGACCCGGCACTGCCCCACCAGCCTGTCCTGCTTCACACACACTGTTGGACATGGCTGCTCGATGCGTCTTCAAGTAGGTTCGGACCAGCTTTGAGCTTAGGTGCCAATAGCTGTGTAGCTGCTTGGGAAGGGGCAGCTGCAGCAGAAAGCAGGATATAGCCGGAGCTGCACAAGCCTGTGGGCCTGCTCTGCTCCTGTCAGGTGCCCCATGTGCCTCGGCTTTGGTTTGATGGAATTCAAACTGACATGCAGACATCTGGAGGGTTGGCACTGACCATCTGTGGCCTTTTATAAAGCCATGTCTTTAAAACGCTGATCAACAAGATTTAGCAGTGTGCTATCCTTGATGTTGAGGTATCTGTCATCATACAAGGAAGGTAAAGATCCCCATGTGCTTCTTGTTCTTGCTCCACAGTATTACTACAGCATAAAGGACATCAGTATTGGCGGCCGATGTGTTTGCCATGGCCATGCTGAAGTGTGTGATGCAAAGAGTACTGAAAACCACTACCAGTAAGTAAATGGAGCATCACATTAGCTTAGTGATATGTTTTCAATGACCTTACTTGTTAATGTACGATATAGTCTTACAGAGATTTTTATAATATTTAAAAAATGAGAATCTATTAATGATGGATAGGAAAATATGTAAAGAGCTGTGTTTGTGAAGTGTAAAGAGCTGTTGTTTGTGAAATATAATCTTATACTTGAGATTTTTAAAAAATTGAAATAAGAAATTTGCAGATTGAATTGTTTGTTAAAAATCCTTACTTCATTCTGGAAAACTTGGAGGAGTATCACATCTGAAGAGCAGAAATTAGAAGGCCAGATCAAGAGCAAAGCTAGTGAACTTACTGCAGAGCATTATAAATGAGCTCAGCCAGGTCCAGAGCTATCGATCACTACTAGAAAATACAAAACCAGAAACTGAACAGACTATATCCTGTTGTCCTGTCTGGCAGCAAGGTGATACAGCCTTTAAGCTGAACGGACTAGTGAAATACTTTAAAGAGAAGAACGTGGCCTTTGGTATCTTATCCATAGTATTTACATGAGGAGGACAGCCGTGAATTTAATGAAACTCAGTCTGTGTTTTTCTGTTTGAATGTATTTTACGAGCAGAACTTGGGAACACTGACTGTTTATTTAGGACCTATGGACATCTGGCTCTAACCAGTGTTTGGTTAGAACAATAACTGCAAAAGCAGACATTCTGCAAGTGTAATAAATCTGGCATATTTTTGCAATTATCTTTTCATGTCTCTGTGTGAGAAGCTTTTTAATTCTTGTCACATACATGAGTGCTTAGCAAATACGAGATATGAAAAATGTAACTTTTTTTGGCAATGTCATTTGGCAGTAGTGGTATATTCATTTCACAGAATGAATATATTATGTCATTCTAACTTAAGTTTCAAATATCACTTTCTATGAATGATCTTGAGTTAAAATAGGTTTACAATTGGTCATACGCGTAACTGAAATCAGTAGGAAAGATTTTTTTCCGTATAGATTTCACAAGGAATTAGATTATACTCTGTATCTCTACTGTAGGAAAGGGACAGTGAATTAATCAGGCTGCCTAAAATGTACTTTAAGAGCCTGGTTTATAACAACTGTTGCTTTCATATATAACATTATGAAACAAAGTTATCAGGATGATAGAAGGTTTTCAGTTGTTTTTGTAAGGAAGAGTAAGTGAGTGGATGGGTTCCTTTACTCTTTCCAGATGCCTATTCTTGAGAAAAAATACGTGAAAAAGACATAAAATCTACCACAATAAAATGGTTATATTGGCAACTGTTTTGTCCTTGGGTATGAGTCTACACAGACAACAGAGCATCTCTGGAGGAGGCTTTCCCAGTCTCATCTCTTTGTTAATTCTAGTATTCAGTTATGATGGATAGAAGTAACACCTGGCTTGTAATGAGACCCTGCCCTTATGGAGGCTTTTCAGACAAGTCAGAATAAATTTGAACTACAGTTTCTTGATCAATAGTGTACACTGCTTTAAAAACAAGGTGATGAAGTTACAAACTTGACTTATTAAAGACACTAGTAGAAAACATAGTGGAAAAGGATGAGGGCATCCATATGAAGGTGATAAATGTTCTGATTTAAAGTAGGACAACAAGCTTGACCTTGGAATGATGCTAAAATTGATTACAGCTTAAATTGTTGTGTGTTGCTGTGATTCAATATCCTGGGAGAAAGTTTTACAACCCGGTCTATTACATCCAATTATAAATATTCTCTACAAGTTGTTGTGTTAATAATCTCAAAATCATATAATTAGTCAATCCTGAAGAGTTTTAGAAAAGTTCTAAAATGTTTCAGATTTACTGTGGTCTCTTTACATGCAAGTTTATATCCTGTCCTTTTCATGTTACATGTAAATCTTAGACTGCAGTAAACCTGCAGGGAGAAAGGAGTGTTAAATCCAACTGCAACTGAATAAGAGGTCTCCTTTTCTCTAGATTTCAGTGTGAATGTCAGCATAATACTTGTGGGGAAACCTGCAATCACTGCTGCCCTGGATATAATCAGAAACAGTGGCAACCTGCAACAGCTGGGAACACGAATATATGTGAACGTGAGTAGCCCGAGATGCAACTTTGACAAATAAGTGGGAATTACTATAGGCCACACATTCATGGAGCATAACTAACACACTGCAGGTTTTAACAGTTGTTTCTTTTTTACTAAAAAAATGTTTCCATGCAGCAATAAGGATTAAGGGATGCAATGAGTATTATTTATGTTTTATTTTTGCTCTCATTAAACAATGATAGCAGGCATTCATTTAAAATGCTACATAAAAAAAGGTGGAAGTCTTCTGGTGCTGCACTGAGTCACTGTGTCCCCTGGTCACAGATGTGTCTGTTAGCAGGTTGGGCATCTGCTCAGCAGAGCAGAGATTATAGTTATCTTGTACAGCTCCAAAACTTGTCCTTCTTTCACCCAATGATTTTCTATTTGGAATCTGGAGAGATAGGGTGTTTATGTAGCCCTATCAATTATGTAAATAGGGTTGCTAACTCATACTAAAGGAGGACTCTGCATTTGACTTCCAGATTTTATGTCTTGTCAATAGAAGGGAAACATATGTGGGGTGTTTGTTGTTGTTTTAGTTTGCTTGTTTTTCTTGTCCCGTAAACCAGGTATTTTAGAAGGCAACCTGTGTTTTGTTAGGCATGCTTATCTGTTTATGAAGCCAAGGTAACATGTCATCTCTCCAAGAGATTCCTGAATTTACAGTCTAATTACTCACAGGGGTCTAAAAATCCTTAAAGCAGTAGAGTGCTGCATTGGCAGCTTCCTGTTCATCCGTGCAGGCTCTTCAGCCTTATTTGCCTGGAGCTCTTAAGCAGGTTCCCTCCTGTATTTGGAGCACTGTAGCGGCAGATTGTTTAGGGCTCACAAGCATTGGAGCTTCTGTTCTCATGTTAACAGTTGCCCTTTGCTGACCTGATGTGCACCTTTGGACACGAAAGCATTTCTGACGAGGAGTCCAAGGAAGTTCACACATGCTCACCTTTCTGTGCTTATAGTTTAATAGTTTGGGTAACCCATGGACTGAATATTCAGTGGTGAAGCCCACTGGCTGTTCTCGCATCTTCTTGCTTTTATTGCTTTTATTCAAGAAAAAGTAGCATAGGATCAAGTTGACCATATGAACCTCTTTACATAGGAGGTACAGGCTGCTGCACACAGATTTATTTTTTTTATTTTATTTTATTTTTTTTTTAATCCAGAAAACAGCAACTCTGGGACAGATGGTGTTTGCTGTCTTTGTGCATCTCCTGTACTGAGCAAATGTTTTGGCAGTCTGCTGCTTTCCTTCTGTCTGCCCCAATTTGTTTTCCTTTTCCTGTTCTACCTTTCCTAGCATAGTAACATAGCCAGTGGGTTCAAACTCTTAATGGGGAAATCTTATTTGAAAGCCAAATAGAGGTACCTGTATGATTGGTTTGAAGAATACGCCTTGCGGTAATGTTTTAATCAAAAGTTGCAGTTGCAAGACTGAGGGGTGGAGTAAACCCTGGATGATTAAAACATTTGATAGGAGGTAGGCATGTTGGGACTTTATTTCTGAAAAATATTTGAAGCCCCATTTGAACTTCTTTCTTTGAAGGAAAGTATTTTCTTTCAAAGGAAGAGAAAGACAAGGAACATAAAAAATGTCACACATTTAAAAGAATCAGTTTCCAAACAATCTACAAGATTCTGATCCAAAGGATCTTAGTTTCTAACTACCTTTGAAAAAATACCTTTTTTGGTATAGGTTGTTCCTAGCTCTTTTAAGAGCTCTGGGGAGTATTTGCCGGGTAGAGACTTCTGTTCCTGGAAGACAGTGATGAAGGAGTTAGAGGAATCTTATTTAGGTTCCCAGAAGCCTGTGTTTCCTGGAAAAAAAGTTGATCGAAAGAGATGGTGGGAGATAGCAGGGATATGCCCAAATTTTGGCTGTCAGTTTCTAGTCTTATGGTCAGCAAATGATTCAAGTATTTAAGGAAATGCTTTGTGAGACAGAAGGGTTTTTTATTCCCTTGTGAGGGGAAAAAAAGGGCATTTTTTAATCAAAACAAATTATTCCCTGTCACTGTTAGAAGACATTCTTGTGAGCTGTATCTATCAGAATTTGGCCACAGAGACAAGAAGCTTTTATTTAGATGGTGCAGAGAAGGAGAAATGTGCGCGTCTGTGCACAGACTCTCATTTTGTCCATCAGGTGGGCTGATGACAAGCAAAATCCTCCCATTTTCATTCCACTCTATCCCTCCTTCCAGTGTTTTTTTGTTGTTGTTGTTTTCTTTGTGTCTTTTCTAGCATAAGGTGTCTTGATTTAGCATCTCTTTTTGTGTAATATTTTATATTCTCAAAGAATTATATGAACAAAGAAAAGAAACAAAAAGATCTAGGTAGGCTGCCACAGTCAAGCCAGGTTACCCAGTCTTGACCTGTTTGAGTCCTGTCAGCAGATCAAGGGATGTGATGATAGGCCCCAAGTTTCCTCATCCAAGTTGTTGCGAGTTTCTAGGAAATGGCTTTCTTGTCCAGAGCTGTTCTGATGTAAATGCCTAGAGGAGATACAGGGAATGATTCAGTGTCCCCTTTCCTTGTCAATATGGTAACATAGCAAGGTATGGAGATCAGTTTTGGCCAAGTTATACTCCCAGCTGGGCCAGATATTTGTGTGGAATTAGGAAGGGTAGTTTCCAACACACTGCCCCCATCATGGGGAAGAAAACAGGGCCAAGGCTGTTTTGTTCTGAGTTGCTCAGGGACTTGGCACCTTCCAGAGTATCCCCTAGTCCAGATGCAGGGAGCATTTTCTCAAGCATGAAGCACAGCTTCAGGAATTTTCTAGGAAGGTCTTCCTGGATTACTGGAACATGTGTAATTAAAAGTGCACCTAGTACTCAGATACCTTTTTTTTTTTTTTTTTTTTTTTTTTTTTTGCTTTTTTTTCTTAGTAATGTCTCTGTTTTTTCCCTCCCACGAGGAAAGGATATCAGATCTAAGAAAAGATTCTCTCCCACGAGGAAAGGATATCAGATCTAAGAAAAGAAGACAGAGCTTCTGGCAAAACTACTGGCCTGCCTTTCACTTACTCTGCCTCTATATTGGCATAGTTAGTCCATATTCAGAATTATGTTGTAGATCTGGAAGATTTCATGAACACAAACAGAACTTTGCTGAACAAACAGAACTTTGCTTTGCTGAAGGGAGTGAAGATCAGAGATTAGTTTTAGCTAGTATACTGCTTGATGAGTAGATTGGGAGATGCACTAAATACAGGCCTGCAGGAAATTACATGAATGCTTCTCGGGGTCAGTCCATCCCTTTACTCAGACTGTATTTGCAGAAACTATCCAAATGTCAACCTATTTTTCAAATTAATTCTTTTCTGCAAACAAGGTATAGACATGTGGCCAGTCATAGGTTTTTTTATTGTTATTACTGTTCTGCCAAGGACAGAACAGCAACAGCTTCTCTGGCTTTAGATCTCCCACCTTAAGAGCAAACTCAGCTTATACGCTACAAGGCCAGTCAGTAGATGCACCTCACGTGTTTTCAATGGATGAACCTCCTAGGTCAGGGCATCTCTGAGGTTAATCCTGTTGCTTTTATTTGGTTTAATAGGGGAGAAAAATAAACAGTGGAAAAGTGCTAACCAGAAACCAACCAAAGTAAAATTTATTACAGCTGAAACCACAAACTGCCATAAACTAGGAAAATGAGTTCTGTCAATTAACTCTGTCTCTTTCCAGAGTAATTTATTATTCTTATTTTTGCTTTTGTTGGTGTTCTTTATATAAACCTGTTTCTTTCTGATTCTATAGTTCTTGGGCAGTAGAGTGAACTCTATCTTGAAATTTCTCCATTCAAAAAACAGCAGCTGGGTAAAGATATAGTCTAATTTATTGGTATCCTTGTCCGAGTATGACTGAGTATGTGTGGTCTCTGGTGTAGGTCTTTTTATTCAAATGTTTGTAGCGAATCTATAATTGCTTATTTGAAATATAAAATAGCTGCATACAGATTCAGCTTAGAGATATTTTTGGACATGAAAAAGTAGAATAAGTGTTTGAACATGTTTTTCATAGTTTTAAATACCTGTTTGAGATCGTTCTTTTGGAGTTTCCTAATTCTGCATTTACCCGTAAATCTATAGTATTGAGATGGTAGAACTATTGCTTCCTCTGACATACCTAGCAATATATATTTTTCTTATATCTAAATGATTTTATCTTGATCCAGGTATGAGAGACCATTTGCTGATAGGCAGATATGTGTATTTGAACATACTTGTGCACCCATGAGTGCATGTATGTACATAAATAATTAAAGCTTCTTTTTTACTTCTGCTACACTACTGAATGCCACCGTTAATACGGAAGCTGACTCAAGATACTATTTTTTCAGCCTGCAATTGCTATGGACATGCCACTGATTGCTACTATGATGCTGGTGTTGATCAGCGTCAAGAAAGCTTAAACATCCATGGGCGCTATGAAGGTGGAGGAGTCTGCATTAATTGCCAGGTAAAAAGGTGTTTTTTTTGGCCAGTATAACTTAATGGCATTTGGAGAAATGGAGTCACACTGTGCCAACACCAGAAGTAAATGTGTTTATGTGCTTTAGTCTCACATGATTCTAATAAGGCATACAATTTAACAAATAAATAACTGAAAAAAATCCTTTTTTTTTTTTTTGTTGTTATGGGCTTTGTTCTTTCCTTGCTTAACAAAGGAGAAATAAAATTTCCCAAATAAAATACCAACTTGGACCAACTGGTTCCCATGGAAGCAAAAGCAGAGAGCCCCTTGTCTTCTAGCAGGAGGAAAGGATAGGATAGGCTGTACCAAGAAGACAGTTTATTGCTATTGAGAAAACACAATACATAGAATAAAAGTAGTTTGAAGGGACTTCTGGAAGTTGTATAATCTAAACCCTCCAGTCAGCGCAGGGCTATCTACAGAGTTATATCATGTTGCACAGAGACTTATCTGTTGAATCATAGAATCATAGAATCATAGAATCATAGAATGCCGAAGGTTGGAAGGGACCTCAGAGGTCATCGAGTCCAACCCCCCTGCTCACGCAGGGTCACCTAGAGCACGGGGCACAGGGCTGCATCCAAGCGGGTTTTAAAGATCTCCAAAGAAGGAGACTCCACAACCTCTCTGGGCAGCCTGTTCCAGTGCTTTGTCACCCTCACAGTGAAGAAATGCTTCCTTAAGTTCCTGTGGAACTTCCGATGCTTCAGTTTGAAGCCATTTCCTCTAGTCCTATCCCTGCCCACCACTGAAAAGAGGCCGCCCCCTCCTCCTCACTGCCTCCCTTGAGGTATTTATACACGCTGATCAGGTCCCCCCTCAGCCTCCTCTTCTCCAGGCTGAACAGACCCAGCTCTCTCAGCCTTTGCTCATAGGGCAGATGTTCCAGGCCCCTGATCATCCTGGTAGCCCTGCGCTGGACTCTCTCCAGCAGCTCCACATCCCTCTTGTACTGGGGAGCCCAGAACTGGACGCAGTACTCCAGATGTGGCCTCACCAGGGCTGAGTAGAGGGGGATGATCACTTCCCTCGACCTGCTGGAGACGCTTTTCTTAATGCACCCCAGGATCCCGTTGGCCTTCTTGGCCACCAGGGCACACTGCTGCCTCATGGTCAACTTGTCGTCCACCATGACACCCAGGTCCCTCTCTGCGGGGCTGCTCTCCAGCAGGTCCACTCCTAATCTGTACTGGTGTCCAGGGTTATTCCTCCCCAAGTGCAGGACCTTGCACTTGCCCTTGTTGAACCTCATGAGGTTTCTCGCCGCCCAGTCCTCCAGTCTGTCCAGGTCCCTCTGGATGGCAGCACAGCCCTCAGGGCTATCAGCTACTCCACCCAGTTTGGTATCGTCGGCAAACTTGCTGAGGGAGCACTCCAGCCCTTCATCCAGGGCTGGAGTTCTTTATATTTCTGAGGATGCAAATTAGAAGCTCATGGTAACTTGTTCCAGCACTTAATCATTCCAGTGGTAAAGAGATTTTTGCTACTATTTAATAGGAATTTCCCCAATTGCAGCTTGGGGGGTTAGCTTTTATGCTTTTACTCTGCATGCCTTAGAATACCCAGGCCCTGTTGTCTCTGTACTCCACGCTACAATTAGAAGCTTCCATAAGCTTCACTTCTCCAAGCTAATCAAAGCCATTCCCTCAGTTTTATGTCCAATAAAACTATATGGCGCTTTTCACATTTATTGCCATGGCTGTCAGTAGAAAGTAGAAGAATCTTTGGTAACACGAGCAGAAGAAATGTTTTCTGTCTTCCAATTGATATTTCCATGCATAACTTTTTTCAGCCAGTCTAGTAAAAGGTATCATTGTGGTATTTCCTGTTAGCTTTTTATAAATGGAAGAATATTTTTCTTAAATTGCTTTCAGGATATAAAAGAGCAAGACTATTCTAAATCTTTGAATTCTGGCTGTATGTTGGATGATGTTTGTATGATGTTGGATGTTTGTAATATAATTTTGAGGACATTATGGTGGATTAACTGAGTTTACCAAAATTTAATTATAGTTTTTCCTTATTAAAAAAACACAAGTATTTTAATTTACCTTGTTGTTGTTGTTGTTTGTGTCATGAAATAAAGTGTTAGAAATGGATGCCTGAATGGTGCTTTAATAGGAAGAGAAATTTTGCATGCAAATACAGGTTTTGTTTCTTTAGATTTTGATAACATTGCCCCATATATTCTGTTCTGCGTGTGTCAGATAGTAACAGTATTAAGTATTGTACTTCCCATGTTCTCTCTTACTTTAATTCTTCCAGAATTTCAGAATGGGGAAGAATCATAGAACCACTGAATGGTCTGTGTTGGATGGAGAGCTCCTGAAATCATGTAGCTCAATCTTCTCAGAGCAGGTCTAGTAAGTCAGTTAGAATTCAGCTTTTAAATTTGAGAATACTGTAATTCAGAAAGCTTTAGAAAACATAGCTAGTTAAAAATTACCAACTGGCAAATGCTGTCTTTATTGCACTTACATACTATTTTTTCTATGCTGAACCTTGCGTATAAAGAAATAACAAAAAGGATGTTATTGTTTCTTAATTCTACATTTAAGTTCCTTTTTTCACCTTTTGTTTTATTCTCTGTTTGATTTTGCACAGCACAACACAGCTGGCGTTAACTGTGAGAAATGTGCAGAAGGCTACTATCGTCCATATGGTGTTCCAGTGAGTGCTCCCCATGGCTGTATACGTAAGTCCTTCTTTGTGCAGTATCTTCTCATAGTGGTAAGGTTTTTTTAAAAAAAATCTTTTTTTTTTTTTTTTTTTTTTTCTGTAAGCAGGGCATGGGACATGCCTTTCGGGGAGGAAATGTTAAAAAGTGCCCAAAAGATTTGTGAGAGGAACTGCAAATGAATTTCTGTGTTTAGATCTTTTTGATCATGTTCTTCTCAACATTTGGATCACATGAGCTATAAGCTTTATACAAGCCAGTGCAAGGCTACGAAGATGATCAGAGGCCTGGAACATCTGCCCTGTGAGCAAAGGCTGAGGGAGCTGGGCCTGTGCAGCCTGGAGAAGAGAAGGCTGAGGGGGACCTAATCAGTGTCTGTAAATACCTCAAGGGAGGCAGTGAGGAGGAGGGGGCGGCCTCTTTTCAGTGGTGGCCAGCGACAGGACTAGAGGAAACGGCCACAAGCTGAGGCACCAAAAGTTCCCCAGGAACTTAAGGAAAAATGTCCTGACAGTGAGGGTGACAGAGCCCTGGCACAGGCTGCCCAGAGAGGTTGTGGAGTCTCCTTCTCTGGAGATCTTTAAAACCCGCTTGGATGCAGCCCTGTGCCCCGTGCTCTGGGTGACCCTGCGTGTGCAGGGGGGTTGGACTCAATGACCTCTGAGGTCCCTTCCAACCTTAAGCATTCTATGCAATTCTGTGCATTCTATGATTCTAAACAACAGGGCGATAGGGGAAAGTCGTCCAGAAAAGAGTGCTGGGGAGGATAAGATCACTGACAAGCCGCACATCCCACGGTGAACTGGTATGACTTCTCAGGAGCCACTCACCTTCCACCCTCCTGACCCTGTTCCTCTTAGCTCTTTCATGCACATGTAACGTGTTGAGTTTTGGTCCCTTGAAAATTTTATTCAGTAGCTCAAAAGGTCATGAGGTCTACTCCTATTTCATGCAGCGCTGAGGCTCATGTCTGTAATAAATAATGCAATAGGATGATTATTAATGCAACAATTAAAAAAGCAGAACTGGCTGTGAGTACGAGATAAAGGTTAAATTCTAAACATGATGAAGAAGTTTGTGACAAAAAGGAGAAGGTTGCAGGTTATCTGTGTTGTGGTGAATGGGAAGGCAATAGGGAGAAAGCTGCTGTAATGTTAGATTTTGTATCTAGGTGACCCTGCGTGTGCAGGGGGTTGGACTAGATGATTTCTAGAGGTCCCTTCCAACCTTAAGGATTCTGTGATTCTGTGTAAGGAGGGTGGGCAGAGGCTTAGCCCACACTATGGGGAGAGAGAGAGAAGAAGCCACAGAAAGAGCAGTTGCTGCAGTGCTGTGGAGTGATTAAGTGTAACTTTCTGAATAATGAAAAATAAGCAGTCTGGGAAAATGATATAGCTCTGACCCCAAAGGTACCCCTAAGGAATTTCACAAAAAAAAAAAAAAAAAAAAAAAAAAAAAAAAAAAAAAAAAAAAAAGATTGTTTTTATAGGGTACTTGTTACTTGGAAAATATGGAGTAGATGCAAATATTAATTCTAAAATAATGAGACAGTCACAACTACAAATTAAATAGTATTATAATGCCACTGTACACTGCTAAGGAAGACAAATCTTTTCTATAAATTGCCTAATTGTTGCTACTTCCATAGCCTGCAGTTGTAACTTGGAGCACTCGGAGGGCTGTGAGGAAGGGTCTGGCCGCTGTTACTGTAAGCAGAATTTCCAGGGAGAGAGCTGCGAGCAATGTGCAGATGGATTCTATGGCTTTCCGTCTTGTGTCCGTAAGTATACAAATAAAAATATCTCTTTTCAAATATTTTTAACATGCACTAAGGAATTAGCCATTTTCACTACACTTGACTATCATTTTGGATTCTAATGTTTAAACATTTTGGTAAATGAGTTGTCATAATACTGAAGAGATTCTTTTTATGGATATGGTTAGAACCTATCTCTCAATACATCATAAATTACAGTCCTGAAACCCTGGACATATTGTTTAAATATGTCTCAGTATCTTAAGGTATAACTCATTTGGACTGGGAAGTGAAATATGGTTGTAGCAGAGAGAGGGGAGAAAATGGTTCTGTGTTCTCTTTGAGGCTTTTTTAGGATTAACACCCCATAAATCAAGTTTGTGGGCTTTGAGAGGTTTCTGACTCTGAAATAGTGCCTGTGCAACACTGGAAAGATTCTCCTGGGAGCGCATTAGACTCTCAGACATGTTCTCTGTTTTTGCTGGACTGATGATAGTTGCTGATAGGTGGTTGAAGGAGGAGTTACAGAATTTTTTTTTTGAATTTGTCAAGAAAATGGTTGAAGGAAAGATGTTTGTAAATACAAAGAAAGTAAAGCCATTGCAAAAGTGATGTGACAGAGAAAAGCTGTCTGCTTTCATTTATTCCAAATGATATTGGAACAATAGCTAATAGTATCTAATGCTACGGATTATTTAAAGATTAGTTTGTTAATTTAATAAGGATATTTCATAAGGATATACTCCCAAAATGTAAGGTATACATCATGAATTCTAGCACTTGCAGCAAATGATAGGGCCAAGGAGCAGGAGAAGAAGCTTCAGCTGGAAGCAGGAGCCAAGAAATGACTGCAGAGCTCCCAAGATACTGCTGTGTAGCACGAGAAGGGTTTCTGCACCAAGTGCTAGGGAGCAGGGAAGCTGGCTGCATTTAGGGGCCAAAACATGCGGCCCCCACTAATGTTTGGCCCCTCATGCTGTTCTTTGAGAAGCAGTGTTTGGATTTAAATTGGAGATCAAAAGTAAAAAGTTTATTATACTGTTTCTAAATAAAACTAAACTAAAGTTGCTTAGTGTAGTGAGATGGTTATCATTCTTTTTGTGTTGACAGCAGGCAGCAGATGTTTAGAGAAATAATATTTATTGTCTGTTTCAAGTATACTTTGGTTTTTCTTTTTTTCTAAAGGTATTCTTTTTACTTCTCCAAATCCAAGTGATGTTGTGGCTAGTGACATCATAGGCAAGTTCTTTTTCTTTTTTTCCCCTCTTTTACTTTTTTCCTTCTTTTACTGTTTTTTTTTTTCTTTTTACTATTTCAGCGATGCTTGCTCTTTCATGTAGATTTTATGTTGTAATTTTGTCAGTATCGGTATTTATCTTTCAGAGAGGTATTTATCTTTCAGAGAGGCTTTGTTCTTACCCAAGGTTAACCATATAGTGTTAACCATATAGTGACCATATAGTGTCACTAAGCAAATTAGTGAGCTGGTTCCAGAAAAAGTTAGGGATCGAAAGAGGTTTGTGCAGCCTTGGGCCAACATGTGCAGAAGCAGCTGACCAGCTTGCTGGTTGCACTTCCAAGCCAATCCATCAAGACTTGCTGACATGTACAACTTGTCATCAGCTTCACGGTGTAAATCTCTTTATTAAGGTTAACTACCCTCTCTTTCTGGATTGTCCTCTTACACCTGGCAAGTTGTACTTTGCCCTTGGCAATGAATTACTTTGATTTCTAAAGAAGCTGCGTGTTTGTTACTTAGCTCACTACAAAGCTGCCTGACATCCGTAAAGATTCTCTCAGTGGGTTTACATTTAAGTATATATTATTATACTGCAAAACAGAGCCAGCATCACAGCTAGAACGTAAATATGTATTTGTAATGCAATTTGGGACAAATAGATTTAAAAAATAGAGCAGCCTTAGTTAGATACTAAAATCAACATTATTCCCTGTGCTGTCTATTAAATTTCATGAAATTGGAGTTTATGTTGTTGTTTGGAAAAGTATTGTCTTCTGGTAATGGAGCAAACTCTTAAATATACATAGTGCTAATGCATTTATACATTTACAAATCGTAATAGTTTTCTTGAAGTTGTCTGCAGTTGCCATTACTTCCCACAAAATCTTACTGTCTTGTAGCTAATTATGTTTTCTCTGCAGGGTGTCAGAAATGATTGCTCTGGCAGGCCTCTGTGCATCCTGTTCTCTCACATGTCTGCCCATCAAACCATATTGAATGTGTGTGAACTTTTCATATAGAAACTGAGAAGAGATAGGAAAGCTTAAAGGAGCAGGCAAAAACAAGCTATAAAAGACAGAAAAAAAGTAGTTGAAAGCACAGGCAGAGGGGTCACTCCTGACTGCTACTGTTCACAGGTTGTTCTGTTAAAATAAGCTGCGATTAGTTTAAATTTAAATTCATGTGGCATGCTGCAAACTGTGGTGGAAGATGAGCAGGGTGGCCTTCTGCTCCTGTTTGGAGTTCTGATTTTTACAAGAGACGTAGGTCTTCTTGGCTGCCACAGATAAAATTGACCTCCCTGGTCTTGCCTTGTTGAAATTAATAGAACATTTATTCAATGGGATGTCATTATGAAGCCCTTAAACTAATCACTCCCATTGAAATGAAGAGAGGATATATATAGATTCAGCTAGAGGTTATTTCCAGTGTAGATGATGTTGGAAGCTTCAGTGTTTGTATCTGTCATAATGGCTTCAAAGCAAGTCCTTGAACCTTTGAAATACACAGAAAAGTCAGGTATCCTGGGCGGCTGAGAGAGGAATTGAAAGGGAGAATCAGGGATATCAAAAGGGAATGGAAAGACAATGCTTAAATAGCACTGTTTTATATTTCTGTCAGTCAGCCTGGGTGGGAAAATGGAGCCGAGTGAAATTTCTCACCTTTCAACTTCTCTGGTGCCATAAAATTCAAGGAATCACCTGTTCGTGGGATGAGCAGATTTTACCTTGGGCCTCGTTTACCAAACTGCTTTACTAGTAAGCTGCTTGTTGGCCTGTAGATCCAGTCTAGCTTCCTGGATGTTTTTGGTTTGAGGTTATATTTTTAAGTTATTAAGTACTTCTCTGATTTGATTTCTCCATTTTAAGATAAATTAATGTTCCCTACACGTGTTTTGCAAGGGACCAAACTAAATTTCTAAACTATAAATTAAAGCATTGCAATAAGAACTTTATTATCAATGGTTGAGAAGGTAGTTACATAGCAAGTACCTAACTGAGGATATTTATTTTAGGTGGTAAAACTATGGCTTCGTGTGGATTCCGTGTGGTTGCTTTGCATAGAGGGGTGGCTTTGGGGCAATTTCTCTTTTAAATCATACCAGTTAGATATTTATCTGTCAGGCTATTTATCTGTTGTTCTAACCTGTGCAGAATGCAGCTGTGATGCCCGTGGCTCTGTGCCTAATACCTGTGGTCACCGGGGTCAGTGTCTGTGCCACAGCAACTACGCAGGGCTGAGGTGTGACCGCTGTGCCCCGGGCTATTACAGCTACCCCAGCTGCTCACGTGAGTATCAGCCTGTCCTCCTTCACTGGTTTTTCTCTCTCACTTCTCTTACACAAATAAAAAATACTGTTTTGATTCCCTCAAACTACATGTGTAACTATGAAAGTTTAATTCTATTCCATTCTTCAGCGTGAAGCTCCAGCCTGTGGTCAGTATTCCAACAAGTTTGCTCTGGTCGCCCACCCCAGCCGTCGTCTCTGTTCCTATTACCTGTGTAACTGGGTTAATAGGAGCGTGCGGATGTTTGGCCTTGGTGTAGCTGTATCTTCCTTTTAATATAGGAAGTCTGAAATTGAGTGTAAGCAATGGGCATGCACCTTTATGAATTCTGGCTCCTTCAGTTTAGCATAAACTTAATTTCAATTAGCTTGGGCTTGTACTGTTTCATGCACTATTATGTAAGCCTTTAAAGTGCATTCATAGGTGCTTGTTACATCAACCTTAAATCCCAGTTGAGAGGGCTTGGCCCACAGCAACTTACATCACATGAACAATTATTCCTGTGCAGGTGGGGCAGCTGATCAGGCCCGGGATGTGTGTGCATGTTCTTCCCATTAAAGAGAGTAACCCGTGGCTCCAATCAGCAATTGCATGGTTGTCCTAAGCAGGAATGTTCTTTCCTAGAAATCAAAGGACTCTTAATGCTAACGAAGCAATGTTTCCTCCCAGTTTGGCTATTGCTAATTGCCACAGCCGTAGCGAAACAGGATCTAATAAATCTGTTGTTCCTCTTTAGAAGACTGGCTAAAATACTTGTCATTAACCGTTTCAAGGTTAGACTCTACCCAAGCAAACATTAGCCTTCTCTGTTAGTATTAGCCTTCTCTGCTAGTATTGTTCATTTTTTGTGGCATTACTCTTATTTCCTCTGTGCATATAAATCATTGGAAAGCTTAGGCTGTACGTAGCTACCTGGAGCAAAAAGACTGCTCTGTGATTTATTTTAAAGCTTCTTTCTGGCCAGCTCGACTCTCAGATCTAAAGGTGTGCTAGGTGTACACTTTTACATTCTGTATTTTGCAATCATATTTTTAGGTGTAACTCTACAGAATTTTCAATGTTCCTTCTGTAAACATTAAAATCAAGAAAACAGAAAATCAAATAGCCTCAGTCTTGTCTAAAAATGGAACAAAGTAGAGGAAGAGGATTTTACTAAGATTCCTGATAATCCTACCTGTCAATATGATGGAAGTAATCTCAAACTCGTAAGTCTCAACTAGGATTGTGTTTATGTGGAGGACCTTGTGAGTTTATTGCAAAAAAAAAAAAAAAAATCAAGCATATTGCGGACAAAGAGTTTTCAAAACTTATAACTTTCCAAAGCTCCAGTACTTTATTGCTTGGTATATACAGAACTCTCCCTAACAATATTGTCCATGTTTCTGGTTATGTAGCTTGTGAGTGCTCTCCTCATGGATCCCATCACGGTGTATGTGAGCCGACAGTGGGGCAGTGCGAATGTCTAACAGGCTTCACAGGGCAACAGTGTGACAGATGCCTTTCGGGAGCCCACCGTTTCCCCCATTGTGAAGGTAACATTGGTGACAGAAAATAAGATGATTCTGATTTCCTTCTTCTGAAGGTTCTGAACTTTGAAGTATTTCAGGCACCCCAAATTAAACGCATACAAATAAACCCTTGGAACTTAAAGCTGTTACATTGCAGTTTTTTAGTACTATATTCCAGAATTATTTTTAAAAAGATCTTTCTCTGTGTGTGTGTGTGTGTGTGTGTGTGTGTGTATAATATATGTATATATAAATTTAATTTCCTACAGAAATCAATGGTGAATGTGACCCTTCAGGCACTTCTGGGTCTCATTTGGTAAGTAGTATATCTTTGCAACTAATAATGCATGTTAAGAATTCATGTACTGTCTCTGCTGCATGTTTTTACTTCATTTTAAGAGCCTCATCTTAGACTGTGAGAGAACTGCAAAAGCTTAATTACAAAGTGGAGATGGAGATAAATTGTGTGTCTTGTTTTATCTGAATAGCTCAATTACCTGTTCAGGATCATATGGTTTTTTAGCCTTTTATTTATGGTATGTACTTATAATGCATGTGTTCTTGGAGTGCTAGAACACTAATAGGAGAGGATTCCTGTTCTCGGGGACTTCAGACAGTTCAATAAAAAAGAAAGAGCAATATGATTTTATTACACATAGGAACTGAGATTTTTTGAGTATTTACTGAATTGATGTAGTAAATGTTCTCTGTTTCCTGAAGACAGGATCACAGAGAAAGCATTTTTTAAATGTTCTGTGGAAAAGACAGTCTTTTGGGAAATAGAACATAGAGCAACTTGGTATTCTTTTCCTGAGAAAGCCGTTGTAGCCATTTCTAAGTCTTCAGTCATGGCTCATTTTTTTCAATAACATGCATTTACTATGTGTTTTTTTGTTTGTTTGTTTATTTTTGTTTGTAATTCTTATTCTAATAAGACCCATATTGACTCATTTCTGTTGCTAGGGCTATTGTCAATGTCTCCAGCATGTTGAAGGCCCTACCTGCAATAAATGCAAACCCTTGTACTGGAACTTGGCCAAAATAAACCCTGAGGGATGTACAGGTACAGAGTTGCATGACGTATTTCTTTGAACATGAAATGTGTTAAATTCTTTTGGAAATGGTCTTGGTCTTGGCAATCAAATGTGACCATTTTGGCGCTTAACAACTCTTCCTACCAATGTGTTTTTCTTAGTGCTTAAATTTGTTACTCATGAGAACAGTTGTTTTTAAATATTAGACCATCCACTACGATTGCTTAATAATGTTAGACCAGAATGTGCTCTGAGTTACGTTGGTGTGTATTGCACAGGCAGGGCTTTTTTTTTGTTTTTCATAAACACTGAAGAGAGAATTTGGCCCATTGTTTGGAGAAGAAGGTGCTTATTCATTAATAATCTTCTCCTAGCTTGTAGAGGGATGAAAAGCCTCCTTGTTGCCTCAGACTGACAACTCTTTTATGGTTTAAGCCTGTGTAATAACCAGCACTTTGCAATTTTTAATGTTTACCAACAGTGAGGCAGTCACTTCAGGCAGAGAAGGCTTTTTTTTTTTTTTTTTTTTTTTTTCTTCTTTTCTTCCCGTCTATTTCTTATTTCTTTACCAGCAGGAAAACAGCTGCAAACAGCTACTTAGATGGGATGAGGAGTCTCAGAGCAGCCACCAATATCATTATGTCCTGGTTCTAAATACTACACAGTCCAGACATCTCCTCAGAGATGATTTAAAACAATTTTCATGCAACCTGTCTTCTCTACCCTCAGCCACAGAGGGTGGATGGGGTTTTGTGAGACCTTAATATTTCCTTAAATTATGTTTTATACAGAGAGTTGTACTAGTCACAAAGCAGCCCTGCAAAGTGGAATTGCAGTCAGACTGGAAGACACAAGTTTTCTTCAGTCATCTGAATGTCTTTAAGAAAAAAAACAACTCCAAATGCAAGCTATTTCTGTTAAACACAAGATAGACTACGCTAACACAAAGCAGAAAACGGCATAAACACGTAGCCCTTATTCTTTCTCTTTTTTTTGTTTCTTACCTTGAGCCAGTGTCTCTCTGCTGTCTGGCCCTTCCAGAGGTACTGCCCTGTGACTCACTGTTGCAGATTCCGCATTTTTTTTTTTGACCTTCAAAGTGCCCTGAGAAGATGAAACACAGATTATCTTTCTTGTGTCTTTGCAGCATGCCAGTGTGATGTGAGTGGAACATTAAGTGGAGTTGGAGAATGTCAGCAGGTAAAATGAATTTGATAGAAAGACATGAACTAAACAGATTTCTGAAAGATAAATTGTTTTAACATTTGCAAGATGTTAGATCTTAACATTAGGTTGCAAGATAATATACAATCAGCTCTAATATCTATATTAGACATAAAGTATCTGATGACTTTCTGAAGATGTGTAAAAGTTCTGAATTTTTTATCATCTTGAGTGTATGTACTTTATAGTATATTCATTAAAAATGATGAATGAAAGGTGAGATGTCTTGATTTTTTTTTAATTGCAGTTTTTATATTTAGAATTAGAGGAAATTCAAAATATTGAAAGAGTGAAGTTCTTAAGTTGCTGATCCATTTTTTTGACCGTTTTTTTTTCTCCCAGGAAAATGGACACTGTTATTGCAAATCTAATGTTTGTGGAGATTCCTGTGACACTTGTGAAGCTGGCTATTATGGTCTGGAAAACAAGAATTATTTTGGCTGCCAAGGTAGAATGAATAATGAACATTTCTAGTAGAACATATGCACTTAACACCAAACTCTAGCATTTCATAGACTGTATTTTTTAAAATGTGAATATATTTGTTGAATCACTCACCACTCATTTTCCACTGTTGCTTGTAATTGCTTGCTATATATGCAAGTCTTTCCTCATTTATCTATTATATGGTGCCTCCCTGTTAAAATCTAATACCTCCCACAGCCAGGGTTTTAAATGGAGTGGAAAGTTTAGTGCAGTACATAATCCTAGCAAAATATGTAAATATTGTTGCAAAAGAGATTCCAAACAAGATAGCTGGAAGTTGTTTATTTCTGCAATCTTCCACCCAAGGTGTGATAACAGGGAAGTTTGATTTTCCACGAAATGTTAGTAGCATCAGATACCTGTAAGAGCAGCGGCTTACTCTTCTGCTTGGCTATTTTTCTAGATCTGCTGCTGCAATAACAACTTGAAGTGTAAGTGAAATATCTGCAGAAAAGCAAGCTAGTTATGTTTGTGTTTTGCTTTAGGCCCTAGTTTGAAGTGTTTTGAAGCAGGGCCAGGTATATCTATGATATGGAGAAAAACATTCTTCTAAAGAGGGTGTTTTGAGGGCTGCAGGGCTGCTTCAGTTTTTCCCTCCTTGCTTCCCTCTAGAATTTGGGGGGTTGTTAAAATCATTGAAAACACTTTTTAGACAGACGGCTGCTTTGTACTGTTCAGTCATGATATAAGAGATTATCTGTAAAACATCATTTTATATATGCACAGTTAAAAATAAGGGCTAGCTTATCAAACAGAGCTTTCTTGCCTAATTTTCAAGCTAAGGACCTAGTGAAAGAGATCTAGTTTCACAAAAGTGGAGTACTTCAATTCTCCTTGTTTTCAATGGGATTACAGATTCTCCACATATCTTAATCTGTGAAATGTGAAAATGATGATGTGCTGATCTGCTGGTGTGCAAATGAGTTTATGAACTTTCAACCTTTCAATTTAGTTTTGAAATTTTTAACCCAGACATACTTCTTCCTTAGTATGACACACTATACCTTGTTCTTCGGCGCGTTCCTTATTTTATGTCAGAAATTCTATCTTCTGTGATAAGGCTTTCAATGTCCAATAAGGCTTTCTTGTCCAATATTGGTTGAAAACTGTGTGTCGTATTACAAATAAATATGTATATTTTGGTTTGTAACCTAAATTAAATATTGTGAACCAGACTGTCCAAAGTTAACATCTTACACACATTTTCTAAATGATTTTTTCTTTTTTTTTTTTTTGAAAAAACTTAGTAATTTGCTATTGCTGTGGAAATTCTGTACTACTGAGCAAAGTGTTTGAAATGTCCTGCAGTCTTTAATCCAGGATATAGTAAATGTGGGATGGTTTATTACTTGTGAGTAAAAAAGAATCTGGCTTTTGACACTTTAAAGGGAGAAAAAATAGAAAACAAACATGAGAATCCAGAAATAACTGCAGCTTGTGCACATGTGTTAATGCATGTTTGAAAAACACACATTACACAAAACACAGGGGAGTCTGAAGGGCTCCAGAAGGAGAAAGTTAGCTGATAACGGTGCTTAATTAGAGGAAGCGAGGTATGCTTTTTGATAACATTTAGCACTTTCTCCCACTTTCTTACCACTAAACCTACCGCTTGCTCTGATGGGACACTCGGCTTCTGCTCCTCGCGGACAGGCTGTCGGTGTGACGTCGGAGGGTCCCTGAGCTCCGTGTGCGCCGAGGCCTCGGGTGCCTGCCCGTGCAGAGAGCACGTCGTGGGCACGACCTGCCGCCGGTGAGTGGCTGCAGCCAGCGGCTCCTGCCTCACAAGAGCTTGTGCAAAGTGCCCCTGGGTGCTTCGTCCTCTGCTCACACAAGATGTGGATTTGTTGATAAATAAGCCAGTTCAGTTGTGGTGTTATCTTTATACTTGACAGTTTTCTTTGTTGTTTGAATATTATATATACAGATTTAAAACTTGTTTTCTTCAATAGTCAGTAGCTAGTTTGCAAGTGTTGCATATATTTTTATATATATAATCTATATCTGTGTTCATTAAGAGTTATATGAGAAAGATACAGCTTTTTATCTGAAAAGAGAATGTAATTGAAAAAAGAATTGTTATTGCACTTAGCTTAATAGCTGTCAGGAATTTATGAAGCAGTGGTATAAGGATTTCCATGTAGTCCATAGACCTGGACTGCTGCTGCTTTCTTTTTGAGGTAGACTGTGTAGTGATTGGAAATGCTTTCAAATTCGAGTGGTGGATGGAAGCTTCTGGCTAATCTGAGTAATGACACAGGCCAAAATGCTGGATGTAGAGGTGACAGAGGTAACTGTAGCAATGTCATTCATCAGGCTTCTTTAGCTTACACGTTGGTAAAATGAGAGTTCATGCCAGAATAAATTTGGATTACCTGTTAAGTGATGTCATTTTTGACTAATTGCATAAAATGTCCTTCCAAAATTAGTATTGGGGTTCAGTCAGTAGGTGTGTTGTATTTTATAGTGGCAAAAATACTCAAGCTGAGAGCAAGAGAAAAATCAGGAGATTCAGAGGAAAGGACTAGTCCTTGAATGTTGTTCTTTTTCTCTTTGTAAGGCCAGAGAAAAACTACTTTTTCCCTGATCTGCACCACATGAAATTTGAGGTTGAAGACGGTACTACTGTCAAAGGAAGGGAAATTCGCTTTGCTTATGATCGTGAGGAATTTCCTGGCTTCAGTTGGAGAGGATATGCCCGGATGTCCTCTATACAAGTAAGCTGGTAATTGGATCTGGGCTTCTGGGTTACAAACACAATCCTTGGGATGTGCATCTCTACAGTACTGCTATGTGTGTGCAAGGTCATGGGGCAATCAAAATAAATGATAGGATCTAACTAATTGCAACACTTCGGTGCTGTATCCCTGCTTGAATTATTGAGTGTTAGTATTGTTGTGAGGTGTTAGTTGCTACTGCAAATACCTGTTCTTCAGAGACATTCCTAGAGTTTTTGTGTGAGTGTTTATGTGTGTGTGAGAGAAAGATGGACGTTTTGCCACAGAATTAAACAAAAAAATAGCTTTAAAGTGTATCATACTAAATGCAGAAAATTCTTGTTATGCCAAGGACAGTGGAGTGATAAGTCATTTAGCTAAACACTAGAAAGTTTTGCAAAATGATTTGGATTCTGTAGTAGTCTCTGTGTTTGATTCTCAGGCATCATCACAGCACTGTTTGTGAAGCCTTCTTATACTTGCAGTACATATTGGGCGAAGCAGAAGGAAGAAATAAATACATTAAAAAAAGAAAGTCACGTAATTTAATTGTATGGGAAAGAATCAGTGTGACTTTTGACCAAATTACTGAGCAAGGGAACCAGGATTTTAAAACAGCAACTCTGAGCAATCAATGGTATTTGCTCACTCTTCTTAAAAGTAGCACTTTGTTATCAATCTAATGCTGATCAGATTTTCTAGTCCTGGGCTCTATTTGTGTCCAGCCTCTGTCATTTCCTTTCTGCTCTTCATTTTTCACTCTTCCCTCTTTTCTTCTTTTATCCCAGAGCTTGTTTTGTTGGCTCTTCAACAGTACTCTGCATTCACAGAAGGCAATGTTTAACAACTGTGATTTCCAAACTTCTGCTTTCTAAATCTGCTGCTTTTTGCATTTCATATCCGGTTGGCAGAGGTAGTGAGAGGGCATAATCTCCCATCCTGCAGATATTTAAAGCTGGGCATTACTGGGCTCAACTAAATACAGCTTTTCACACACATAAGTAATTGCTAGCCACTCTGCAGTTAGGTCCTTGCATAGCTGAGTTAGTTTGACATTCTTCATTTCAAGGAATGTTTATAAATTTGACATAACTTTTCTGTGTCTTGCAGAACCCTGAAATATCCCTCCTGACGCTTCTCTTGTGAGAGACAAATAGTTTTACAAATGTCTGTTGCAAGGAAGGCTGACATAAGTTTTTGAAAAGAAACTGTTTCAATGCAGTTAAATTTTTTTGAGGTGCAAGAAATCGCCTGTGCATGAGTCACCTCAGTCAAATTTACAGGTGCCCTATCATTCTGCCAAGAGAGGATTCCTGTTTTGTAGTCAGAAGTCTACAGTGGGGCCTGGATTTCAAGGCTTTGGCCAGAGCTGCCTGAGTTTGTGGCGGAGCTCGAAGAACAAATTCTTCCCACTTTCTGCCTTTTCTTAAAGCCAAGGACTAACATTTCCTCCTCCTCTTTCTTGCTCTTCATGTGCTTCCTTTTCTTCCTTCACCTCTGTCTTCTGGACTTCCCCCCAAATGCTTACAGTGCTAAACCTTCTGAAGTGTATTTATTCCCTTCAACAATCATTTCTCTACATTTAAAACAATGACTTTAAAATCTTCCCCCACTTGTCTATATTTTCTGTTCTCCTCTACTGCCCTTCTGTGATCCCCTAAATATTGCTGTTTAGTCTCTGTAGATCTCTCAGGCCTGTCATCTGTCCCGGGTCAATTTTTGCTTTCTGCATTGATCTTCTAGTGAGAAAGCAGAGGTCTCTACAGTGACGATCATTTAAAGAATACACATTTGAAGCAGCATATGAGAGCTATCAGTAGAGCATTTGTAGGAGCTGGTGTTGGCCTTTGCCTAGCATTTGTATCACAGAGAAGATAAGGCCTTGTGCTCAGTGCTCAGTTCTCAGAAGTGTGGAGTTTAGAGAACCTGTGTGTGCTTTGAGGGAAGCAGAATTGACCATGATGGTGGGAGCTTAAGATATCACAAGCATTTTGGAATGAGACAGGGGAGGCAATTATGATGGATGAACTTTGAGGAAGGGAGACATCAATTAGAATGGGATTATCATTGGAATGGACCTATTATTTTCTACCTACAACCTTTGAAGATGTTTCTGCTGATTCTGAGTAAATATCTGTCCTTGACCCTGTTGCTCTGCAAGCTCTGTGTAGTGAGCTAGGTGAATTCTGTCTTCTGATGGGCAATGATGGAAGAGGTTCAAGAGACCATTGAGCCACAGGACAAAGACAGAGTCAGAGTATCATCATCTTAGCAGAGGAAGGGAGCAGGTGAAGGAGCAGTAGAAATTGCTCTGAGTGTCTGGGGCACCTGCATGCTCTGAGAAGTGGGTCAGTGATTCTGTTTGTGCTTGGGAATCTGGGGGTAGGGATAGTCCTCCAGATCGTATGTTTCCTGTGAGGAGACATACGATGGAGAACTCTCCATGTTCTTGTGTACAAAATCAGCATGCATCCTAGTTCAGCCCTTCCAGGTCTTTCTGGATGAACATTCACTCAATCAGCTGTTTTATTTCACAGGAGTGTTTTGTTGTATATTCTTTTATAAGCTGCCCAAGTCCTCCTTTTCTGTTGTGGAATTTGTCTTTGCCAAATGGTTTTTCTTTCTCTGGGTGCTAGTAACAAATTATATACTTTCCTTTCCTCCTTTTTTTTCCCTTTCTTTTTATTTTTGCCAGCCAGAGGTGGTTGTACCTGTCACTGTGGCTTCCCCTAAGCTCTTCCACCTAGTCCTCCGCTATGTCAGCCTGGGTTCAAAAAGCCTTAAAGGGAAGATCTCAATTGCTGAGGGAAAACATTTTGGCACTAATTATACTTGTAAGTGAATTAATTTTCTCACTAGGCTCACCTGTCTTCATCTGTCATACACTGGTATTGCCATTCCACTCTAGACTTGGCTGCATGTGTACTTTCCCTGTAGGAGTTTAGTACGGTGCTTGCATGGCTTCCAGCTTCCAGCTGTTTCTCTGTTCGACACTTTACGGCTGTTTTTGTTTATTAACTTCCCTTTTACAGAACGAAGTGAGGATAACTTTGAATGTGGAAAAATCCAACTCGTTTCACATTATCCTGAGATATGTTAACTCGGCAAGTGCAGCGCGCTCTGGCCGCGTAGCTGCTTTTCAGTCTCAGCCTGAAACAGGTAGGTGCCACTGAACAGCAAGGCAGATGAGTGCTGGATCAGAGAAGCCTTTCCAAGCTGCAGCTGAGTCAAACACATGACCCTGCTTAAAAGATAATTGTTTTTAACACATGATGTTGCTTAAAAGGCATTTTTTTTAACAGTGTCAGTGCTTTTGTGCTTTTCCTGATAAATTTTGTTATAACTGATGTGGCTGTGTCTGCAAGAAGCCTCTGCCTCCAGTATTAATCACTTTCTAAAAAATATTTGCTAAATTCAGTACTTTCACTTCTGCATTTGGAGGCACATGCTGTGTGCTTTAAGAAGCTTTGAATAAAGGAATAACAGTCATTATTTTCCTCATTTGGCTGCCCTTAATATTTCAGTTTAAAGATGACTTCTGTTTCCATTCTGTGAATAATATTCATTTAATAATGAACCCAATCCTCAAAGTTAGCGCTGAGCAACATGTGATGTTACTGATGGAGGTTTTGGACCCTGCTAGATTCTTTAAGAGGTAGAGAAATTTCCAATCTGTATCCAGAATCCTCTCTTATTACGCCTGCCCTCGCTATATTGCAAATGCAGTTTAGTCACAGGTCCTTGCAGTACCTTGGAAGAGGCCGAGCTCCTGTTTGCCAGTACGTGGCAGAGCAGCAGCAGCCGGCAACCTGCTCGGGGTCCGACTGCCTGGGAGACAGGGAGGCAGATGGAAGCCCAAGCTCTGGCCTGGGAGACAGGGAGGCAGATGGAAGCACAACAAGGTCCTGTCAGTGTCCAGGGGCTTCAAAGCAGAAGGCTTCAGTGTTCCTAACAGTCCACCCTCCTGTCTGTTTTAGAAGTCTACTGCAGCTTTGGTGCCACTGCGTGTTATCTGTGCCCATTAGTTACCTTCAGGTAACTTCAGTTACCTTCAGGTATGGCTTGTAACCAAGCATTTTAGATGCATTTGAGAACCTTTTGTGTCTCAGTATCTACTGGCATTCATGGGAGAGCAGGCCCGCGCGCCAGCTGAGCGTGTCACGAGCCAGCGCAGCAGCAAATAGAGTAGGAAATGAGGGAAGTGGAAAGTGAAGCGAGTGCTTGAGAGCTTTGAACTCTGCTTTTCTGAGCAAGTTGCTCAGGGCGACAAAGAGGACAATACCTGGCACAGCTCTGCACCTTCTTGTGTGCCTAGGTGGCACTATTAGTGCATCCTGAAGGGAAGGGAGGAGCACTGATGAGATCCTGTTAGGCCAAGTTTAATGCATGAAATCTTCAGTCTTGAGCACTAAGTTAGCAGAGACATTTTACACAGTTCCTTACACCTTATATTTTTTAATTCTTTTTTTTTTTTTTTATCTCTGACAGGGGCTGCTCAGAGCAAAGAATTTTTTTTCCCACCCAGCAAGGAGCCAGCTTTTGTCACAATCCCAGGAAAAAGCTTCATAGAGCCTTTCTCACTGGTTCCAGGCACATGGATTGTCAGTATAATGGCAGAGGAAGTTCTCTTGGTAAGAAAACAATTGAGGAACAGAAATGCTTGAAACCTATCTTGCTCTGGAGATGTTTGCCAGGAAAAAACTCTGCAAGGGATTGAAATTGAGCATTAATGAAAAGAGTACAGCAGCAGAATAGTATTATGAAAATATACAGTTTGCCTCTTTTTCTTTTACTGATTTTCACCTGCTTTTTTTTTTTTTTCTTTTTTTTTTCCTACACCCTTTCTGTCTATCTGGAATTTATACCTTCAAAGGATAAAGTAATGTGATGTTAGCATGAAGCTCAATTGGTTGAGCACAAAAGCTCAGAGAAATTCATAATTCTCACATGTCTAAAGCTTAGCCTGGTGGCAGATGATCAAATCCCAGAAATTCATAATTCTCACATGTCTAAAGCTTAGCTTGGTGGCAGATGATCAAATCCTTAATTTCTTGGCAAAAATTCTTCAGAAAAATATATAAAATGGTCTGCATAATTGGTAAGTCACTTCCTAAATATTACTATCCTCCCTTTATTACCTTTCCCTTACTCATTGAAAAATTATCTATGACAGCAGTTCTGAGAAATTATGACAAAAAGACAAAATGTGATCACAGCAGGTGAATGAAGAACCTTAAAAATGTGTGATCACAAAAGTATCACGCAGAAGTTCATGTGTACATTAGGGTTAATGTGTAGTGTCGTAAAGTCTGGGGCTCTGGCTAATTTGTGGAATATCACGTAAAATGTTACTAGAGAACTTGCATACATATTTCTTACATATCTTGCTTTTTTGCTAATACCTTTTAAAAAGGTATAAGATAACGTTAATTATCTTAACCTATCGTGTTTGCTTTTCATGATAAGGGTTTTTATAAATAAGCTCTAATATGCTGATTTAAGTGGAAAAGGTAGAGGAAGAAGATGCCATGTTGTGAAACATCATCTAGAGTGTCTTCTACAGGAGCTGGGACATGTGTATCTCCCTTGCAGAGTCACACACAGTGGAACTGTGTGGGAATTGCAGGTGTGGGTGAAAACTGTGCAGCGCCAGCAGTGTGCACTGAATCATTTAGGCTGCTGAAGCTCGTGACAAATGGCTCACTCTCCCCCTCTAGCGACTAGACCATTGAGAGGTTTAACAATCTGCAAGGATTTGGATATGGAGGCCTCTGAGTTTAAGGCTTAAGCAGCAGGGCCTGTGCTGTTGGATTCAGAGGCCCCAGCCTTGATGCTTCCTCCTGGGCGCAGCTCTAGTGAGGAGGCCCCTGCATGTTCGTGTTGGTTCAACACAGGCTGGTAGAGAGGCTGCAGAGATTTCCCCAGCTGCCTTCATCCCATCTCTACAAAGATATAGCTAGGATTACTGGACCATGTTATTGCCACATGGAACATCCACAAATGCCTGTGTCTTGCAGATATCCTCCAGAAAATCATTACTGTGGTTGGTTTTGGTCATTGCTACATTGTGAAAGTCTGGAGATGGTCTTTCAGTAATTTTCTGACTGATTGTGCCTTTGCTGTGTTCTTCGTTTTTAGGATTATATGGTGCTGTTACCTAGGGATTATTATGAAGCATCCATCCTGCAGTTACAAGTTACTGAACCTTGCACCTATTCAGGACACGCTTCAACAGAGAAGTTAGTAGATACGCTACAGAATAAGCTTTTGCCTTGGCTTATGTTATTATTATGCTGCTGTAATTGCTAACAATAATAATCCTGTGTTTTGTTTTTTTGTTAAGCTGCTTGCTTTATCAGCATTTGCCATTGGGCAGATTCTCCTGTGTCCTTGGTTCAGAGGCAGCCTATTTCACAAATGGGGGAGAACACAGAGAGATGCTTCTTCGACAGCCAACTCCTGACCATCCGGCCATGTCCCACATCAGTGGAGGAGAGGTCAGATTCCTGCTTAGTTCCCAGCAGTCCCATATGCACTGTTAACTACAAACCTACCAGACTAGAAAGGTTGCAGATCCATAGCTCTGCATTTGCAAATCTCTAACTCATCCCTAAAACAGACGCTGAACCACAATCCACATTTTATACAACTCTATTTAGACAGGTCAGTATAGGCAGACCTATAGCTGGGAGTAGAGCAGACATTTCATTGACGGAGGTGTTTTACTTATGACTCTGCTTTCCTGAAATCCTTCTGCTTTAGAGATAGTCTTGTTCAGCATACAGACTAGATGCAGCAGAAGTGCCATAGTGATTTGTCAGGGGTGATAATGTAAATATGTCACTCTGAACTGATCCTTTTCTTTTTTTTTGTTCCCTAAATAGCTATACTTATGTAAAATATTTGCTTTATAAGAAAGAGCAAGCAGAAGCAATTTTGCCAATACCATAGGTGCATGGAAAGAGAAACATGTTATCAAATGAAAAACTATTCTAGAAGTGGGTTTGGTAAAAATAATTTGTTTAATGAAGCACCTGATAATTACGTGTAAAATGATGATGTCCTCTGTGACTGTGCTATGAAAATTGCTTTTAAAAACATCAACTTCAACAAGAACTCAAAGGCCCTGATGCTTCATCACTGATGAATGTGCAAAACCTTACTGGTATGAATGTGCAGTGAAGTCAAGGTGGCTCTTGACAGATTTTTTTTCTTTTTGCACGTTTAAGTGTTCATAGCTAAAGGCAATACTGAGAAAAACAGTTTTAAAGCATCTTAAGCAATCTGTAGCAAAAACCTCTCTAACTACAAAATTTTTCATGCAACTACTTCAAAATATTTTGCATCAAATCTAATTTTAACCAATCTGGACAAGTAAACTCAAAGAAAAACTTGATGCTTCACCAAGTATCATCACCTATTTCTTGGTGAAGATGTATTCCTCTTTTTTAAGGAATCAACATAGAGTACAGCTGTAGTAGAAAGTGTGTTTCTGGAATTTTTTTTTTTTCAGTACAGATAGAGCATCATTTTGTTGTTGTCTTTGTTATTAAAGATAACTTAGAGATGGGCATGATAATTCCCTTTCCCAACATAATTATAGTATTTGTCTCTAAATTTTCCTCAGTGCTAATCCTTACTGGGAAGGGTAGCATATAATATAATTTCCTAAGCTCATTTTACCACCTTTCCAGAACTTTTTTATGGCAGTTGTTTCCTGAATTTGACTGCCTCTAGCTAGCAAAAAAAGTGATATTTTTAAGCACTGCTTCTATTCTGCAGAGCTGCATTGTCTTTTGCTGAGGCAGTACAGGACTGGCTGTGGACTAATGCAGCCTGGCTGGCTTGCAGGGCAGGCAAGGGGTTTACTGCAAGAAACAGGGTGAAAAATCTGAAGAGGTTTTTTTTTTTTTTTTTTTTTCCGGTGATTCTTGACCTAGGTCAGCTTTCAGATGACCATAAATGTTCCTCATGTCGGTCGCTACGCTCTGGTCTTTGAGTACGCTAATGAAGAGGATCAGTTATATACTGCTGAGGTGATAATAAATAGTCCTGGATCTGTCACTGAAGGCAAAGTGAAAATATACAGTTGTAAATACAGGTAAGAATTTCAGAAATAATCACTAAATGGTTAAGCTACCCTTTAAGACATGTATTTTTTATGTATTGGAATGGATTTTACTGTATAGCTTATTCAAATTCTAGTGCGATATAAAAGCAAATGTATTCTTCTCTGCACATCATTTCAATTACCTCATTTTTGCCATAAGCACATTTAATATTGCTGCTACTCTAGCAAACTGTTGTTCTATATACCTCCAAATCCTTATGAACTATTAATCTCAAAGTCCATTGGCAGAGTATCATTCTGTTGGCTGCATATGCAAGCACTTATCTAGTTAAGAACGTAACTGAGGGCTTTAGCTGTAAATAGTAGCAGTCAGTTTGCAAGAGAATTCCCACTATTTCTAACAGGAGTTGCTGAAGAAAGGATAGAAGTGTTTCCCTATAATTCTCAGTGAAGCCATCCTCTCAACTGCTAGACTAGAGGCAAAGTCTAAGCTCCAAGCTTCTTTATCCTTGTTGACTCCTGAGGTTACTGCAGATGTTCAGGAGAGACTTTGTCCTGAGTGGGATCATCTGATGCTTCAGCAGAAGAATCAAGTTAAGAATGTGACCCTACACATTTTTGTCCTTGAGAGAGCCTGCCCAGTGCCATGGCACTGCTTATATACATCCTTTTCCCATGAGCCAAGTGTTTGACGTGTTGGAAGCTTAGGAATATATGAGAGGAAACTGCCCTGTAAGAAAAATCATTTGCATCAGCATGTTTGTGATACAGAGCAGAGCTATATAAAGCCGTGACCTTGTTGGGTTATTGCTTGGGAAAGCTCTTATTTTAACCTTTTATGTAACACTTTATGAACAACAAAGCATATAGTTTCCTTTTTTTTTCCAATACATTTTTATGACTAATTTTGAACATATATGCTAAGAATTTGATCATGAAAATACAACAAAAAAAAAGATCAGCAATGCATTAAATCCCTTCTGCTGCTAATCTGCAGGAAGTTAAAGGTTATGTTGCAGGTAAGTTGCTGTGTCATCTTCCTGAGCTGGCAGCTACTCCTCTTTTCTGTTAAAAAATGAAAGGCAGAACACAGTGAAGTACGTGCAGTTACAGTGTACCTCATAGAGGCATGAATAAATTATGCCAAGCCTGTTTATAGCTCTGTGGTACTGATTCTTCCCAATAAAACATTGCAAGAGAACAGATTTCACATTTGCAGAAATACCAAGTTGCTCAGCTTGTAGTGAATCACAAATAATGCAGCTGTATCTTTCTATCCTAAAGGTCCTTTGGCCTGTGCAAGTAGAGAAATACAGAAGGAACTATATGGTGATTACAGCCTCTCACCCACAACATGCTGCCTAGCTTAGCTAAACAAATAAGGAATTAGATTATTTTATGAATTCCACATTTTGAATAAAAGTGAAGCCTGTTTGCCACTTTCTGAAAGGTGCAGGGATCATATTCCCTTCTCAAGGCAGTATCTGAAGCCTTTAGCAAGACTCTTCCTCTTCTTATGTTTTGTCTTTACCATAGGTGCAGAGTCAGTAGAAGGCAATCAGTAAGAGATGGAGCTGTATTTTTCACTTGTATTTAGAAGTATTTCTCTGTATAAATAGGCTTCCCAAAGTTGCCCAGCTGCCTCTGAGGGGGAGCTGGCTGCTGCTCCATGCTGTGAGCAGTGTGTGGCAGTAGCGGAATGCGGCAGCCGGCGCGCGCTGGCACCACGAGGAGCCCGGACCAGGCACCCTGTTGCAGGGCATGCTGCCTAGTGCCTGTCTCTGCTCACATCCTTCCTACAGCAGGAGCCTGAAAGGAGATAGGAGCCACAGTCCAGACTCTGGGTAGGTTCATCTGCAAAGGACAAGCAGTGATTTATGCTGGCACCTCCTTTGCCTCACCAGTGAGGATGCTCTGTGTGCACCAGCAGCCTAAGGTGGTCATTGCCCACAGTCCAGCAGAGTGGTTGGGCACCAGCAGCGAGGCCAGCCCAAAGCCAGGCAGCTGGGTACCAGCTGGAATTGTGTGAATAATACAGCAGTGGCAGGAGACTGATGATTAATTCTGCTTTTTATATCTCACAGCTTCCTTTGTCGCAGTGTTGTAGTTGATGATAGGAATCGCATTGCAGTCTATGACCTTCTAGCAGATACAAAGATACTTGTTAAGGCATCATCAATTAATTTTCTTCTGGTAAGTGTCCTTTTTCTTTTCTTTTCTTTTTTTTTTTTTTTTGTGATGATTTTTCCCAGAGAAGGTAAAGGGAGATACATTCTCCATCTGTTCACATACTCTATGGTGAAGTTGTGTGAAAGACTTTTTTTTTTTTTCTTTATAATATGTTCATTTTAATAGATTCAAGAAACACTGAATCAATGCTTAGTCTCAAAGCGTAAACAGAAGATTTCAAAGATAAACAGAAAATTGTCCTTCCAGACAAAGGTCCTGGTATCCAGGTCCAAAGGTATTGCCAGCACTCTTGTACAGAAAAGACAGTTTCTCTGTCTTTGCTTCTTTTAAATTTTAAATAATAAGTCTTTGGGAAGCTTTTTTTTTTTTTTTTTTTTCTTCTTCTTCATCATTGCACTTGTTTTCCTGTATCTTTCACTTTTTTGCTATTCTCAAAACCCGTATGGGAGTTTCCAGAGCTCTTACAAAGATGGAGGTAATCATTCAATTTTGACCTGCCAGAACTTTAAAATACTTGGACTGGAAAACTTTCACTGCTGTCTTTTGGACACACTTCTAATACTTTTTTTCTGGACAGTAAATTTTCTTCAAAGTTGTTTTGACATTTTCTATTTTCAAAACCTAAGGCGATTGTGCACTTGATTAATATCTGAAGATGAAATCCAGGTTTAAACACAGAAATTTCATGTAACTTTTAGTAACGTATACATGGTTTCCTCTTTTCGTGAGGCAGTGCTCTGTTAACAAACACCAGTCAAATTGTCTGTTAGTTCTGCTGTGCTAACAAGATTCATGTCCAAAAGATGTTGATATTATTAGGCTGTATCTCCACATACATAAGTCTCTTGTGCTAAGAGTGTCTTTATTTCGATATCTAAATTCTGACTTTCATTTTCTGAATAAATTTGCTGCCAGGTAATTTTGATTATTCTCTTAAGATTCAAGAAGTGCTGTTTCCAAGGGTTAGATGTAAAGGCTACACTTAACCCAACATAGAAGGAAGTGAGAAAAAGAAGAGCTTCTCTTGTAATATGACCATAGAGTTAGTACCCCAGCAGTAATATTCCTGTCATGTGGACAGACAATAGAAGTACAAGGGGAACCACCCCCAACTTTGGCTTTCAGAAATTTGGAATAAATAGCAAAGGGGAAAGAGGATATTCAGTCAATTTTGCATTCAAGAAGAGTTCTTATAGACCGGTGGTCTTCATCTAAGACTGGTGCATATGAGCTATCTAAGCTGAGACTATGGTTCACATAAACTTTTTAGCAGCTCCCAAAGTACAGTTCAGAGTTTCAGAGTCTGCTTTTGTTCTGTCTCCATGGGCTAGAGTCCCATAAGTCATCATATATAGGCACAATGCTTGCTACTCAAGAGAAGAGATTTTTAGCATCTGCCTTCTAGTTTGTAAATTCCCTGCTTCCTCTAAAGCTTTACATTCCCTGTTCAATACTGTTAAAACACAAGTTGAGCCCCTGGAAGACCTGCTTCTAAACCAGATCACTTTGCACGTTAATGTGTTCTTCCTGTGCAATTTTAATTTATATTAATCATGTAGCATTAGTTATCTTCTTGTCAGATATTTTTATCTCTTTTCAAATAGCTCATGCACAAGTTTATTTCGTAAGCGCAGTTAATACATTTCAGTAATACAAAACTGTTGTGTTTACCTACAAGCCTTATCTTTTACACGCAGGCAACCATAGCTATAACAGAACTCTCACAGCTTCATTTGCTCATGCAAAGTTTTAGTCCGTAACATGCCAAGTTTCCTTGGCTTTTAAGATGTATTCTGTTGGGAGACAGCCTGGCCTATCTGTCATCATTCCAGAGGACTTTGTGCTAGCAACTGTTAGTACCTGCATTTCAGAAAGCTCTGGTCCTCAGGGTCCAGAAAAAGCCTTAATGCCACTGATGAGGACTTCTGTCTCCTTCACTGCATGCTCCTTGGCTAGCTTCTTGGCCAGCTTCTGACCAGTCTGGTTATCGGTGATTCCTGTTACCATATGTATCCTTACAATTTGATCTGTTTAACTTCCCAACAGACGACATTGACCTGAGAAGGACAGAAACATGACATTAAGCACTGAGACATTCAGGTGCAGATACATGAAGGGACCAAAATTGTGTTGGAAGGTCAGGGCAGAACATGGGTTTGGACTCAGCTCTCCCTGTGCTAATATTGGGGTCCAGCCTTCCCTTCCAGGCTTGGTCTTGTTATTTACAACATAAATGGCTAATTGTGCCTCATACTTATTTTTCAGCACAAAGTTTGTATTATATCAGCTGACGAATTTTCTCTAGAGTACACCAAGCCTAAAGAGCGCTGCATAGCTGCTTACCAGAGTACCCATGACAGAAGGTAATTTGATTGTTTTTTCCTTTGTGTTTTCTGAAAAATGTCTCAAAACGCAGACTAAATGGAATTATAATGATTTTATGAACCTTTGCTCAGTAACTCAAATGATTGTTAGGCCAGTGTTACCAAGTAGTACTTGCAAAGTGCTAAAATGTTAGTGTTAATCTAGGCAGCCTTTTCACAGGATTTTGTTAATATTCTTCCTAGACTGTCTGAACTGTTCAATGCTATTGCCTGAGAGAGCATTAGTTCTCTTTCATGTATCATACAGTATCACAGGTGTCCAACTTGGAAAGACACTGCTACTTCTGTGGGAAGTCATGAATTAGCAGACCTGAAATGGTTATAGTTCCATCTGGAATGTCATTCTGTGTATTACGCCTTCATCTGTTTTACAGTGGCTTTAATTTGTGCTAGAGTAGGGATGTGAAGGCCCTTTGAGCTGTGCAAAGTCCACAAATTCCCCAGCCCAACTTGGCAGGATCAAACTACTCCATATGGAAATCCCCATTTCACATGCAAGCCGTTCCTATGGCCACCTCACTGTGGGGCCTCTGTGCTAGGTGAGCCCTCAGCATTAGCATGCAGAGCAGTATTAGGGGATCCAGAAAGGATGAGTCCCTTTTATGTATATAGGACTGGTAATTAGAGCACTCCCAGGCAGCTTCCTTGACCAAGGTCAAGAAGGTTTGGACCTGAACCCTCTGCTTCCCAAAGAGAGGCTGTCACTGCTGACTGGCAGTCTGTTGTGGGTTGCACAGAGCTCTTGTTCTGTCCTATTGAAACTCTTCCCCACTCCATGTGCTTTAGCATATTATTTAGTGCTATTCTAGTCTGTTGCTCTATTTAGTATTCACTGCAGCTTCCTAATTGGGGAGCCCCGATCTTGACTCCTGTTGCACTTCCTTGCATAGTCCTTGGAAATATAGTCCTGAGGCTTTTTTCTTACTGATCTGGCAAAGGAGAGGGCCTTAAAGTAGGAGCAAATGTCATTTACAGAATTTGAGAGGCAGAAAGAGTTGGTGACAGGGTCTAATAGTTTTCCAGACAAAAGCTTCTAAAATAATGGTTGAATGGAAATAAAAAGCAGAAAAATCTGCATAGTAAATGTGATGCAAGCATGTGACTGAACTTGGCTCTCAGGCACACATAATGTTGATTCTCAGCACTGCTTTCCTGCTCAGAGTCTTTAACTATAGAGACAAACTCTCTAGCATGGAGTATAGGAAGTGCTTGTCCTCACGCAGAAGGAATTTTGCATTCATGGGCATTTATACTCTGAGTAAAATGGGGGAAAGAGGAAGGGTGAGAAACATGAGTTAAAATAAAGCAAATGTGAGAATATATACGTTTAACTTTTGCTTGTAATCACTTGTTGTATTTGCTTCTATTCTACCATATAGTGTTTACTGAATATGTTGTGTTATAAAGACCCTATTTGGCTGCATTTTTAATTTTGTCAATTTGTTTAGTGTTTGCCAAGCTGAAAGATTCAAAGCCTTGGCTCAGTTTAATAGTTTTATAAGTGGCTGCTGCATGTGGTTTCCCACATAGCCTTGGCAAATACCTCTCCATTCTGGCTCTGGAACATACTTGCAATTCCAGTTCTGGACCTTTCTTGAATAAAGATTAGTCACTGTCAATTCAGTACTTACAGAAAGTGAAAAAATAGCACAAGTGACCAGCACGAAACCACCGAATAACATTTTCTCCTGAAGTTTTAGGACATACTTCTCTCAATTAAGACCATTAAAATGAAACATACCAAGAGAGAACTAGTTAAACACAGCAGTAGGTGATTAAGTATGCTTTCAAGGAGGACTGTTATTTATTTTGGCTTCAATTCTACAAATATTTGAAGGTGTACTTCACTTTTAAGTACTTAAGCAGTTGCATCTACTTCAGTGGGATAACTTGCATGTTTGAAGGATACACAAAAATAAATATTTATAAAACTGAGAACTCACTACTAGCTTGGATTTTGTTGCGTGTAACTAACTGGATTCTTTCAAATTTACTTACTGTTTTTTGCTATGAAAATTTTGAGTAAATGAATGTATCTACACTTTCCCCTAGTTGAGTAAAATGTCTGCATCTTGTTTTCCTCTACTTCCTTAGCATCTACGGAGACTTCTGAAGAGTAGCTGTTGTTATTATTGCATTGTTATTTTATTATACATTTTAATACGTTAACTTTTACCATGTATCTTTTTCTTTCATTGTGTTTAATTGTTTCTCTTGACTCAAGAGTAATTAATATAATTCTGTTTTTAGCGTGACATGCCTTTCTTCAGTATATGAAACTCCATCAGGGACTTTGGTTTTGAATGCATTCAGGGATGGAAGAATTTCTGAAGTGCATAGAAATATGCTCTATGAGCAGCTCGCTGCCCCTTTGCCTCCTGACACAGTTAATGGAGTCACCCTGACATCGTCACAGGTAGCTGATGTTTTGAAAATGTTGTTTCCTAACCAACAAAATATGTTATTAGAAAAGTTAAAGAGATCAAATACTGTAAGAGAATCAAAACTTGATGATATGAGATGGCAGAAGTGCTGCAGACCAGGTAAGCCAAAAAGATAATATTCAGAAATAAACAAAAATAAAAATAAAAATAAAAATAAAAATAAAAATAAAAATAAAAATAAAAATAAAAATAAAAATGCCAGTTTCTTTCTAAGCTAATTATTAGAACCACTAATTAAGCTACTTATTAGAGCGCAGGAAAAGAGTTCAGATATGCTTGACATGCAAACAGATAGGAGCAGGCAGACATAAGGTCCTATTCTTGAAAGATGTTCTTAACCTCCTGAGAGATGCAGACAGGTAGTGCAGAGCAAAGCACACACAACTAAACATATTTCCTGAAAAAAATACATTACCAGAGCTGTTCTTGTTTCTGCAGAACTGGATCACCTTGAGTGGGAGAGTGCCCCACTTGGGCAGATACGTGTTTGTGGTTCACTTTTATCAGCCAGCACACCCAGTGTTCCCTGTGCAAGTGCATGTGGATGCAGGACACATGTGGTCAGGTGAGCATCCCACTTTATGTTCTTTTCCCTTCCCTTTCTCAGCATTTTGGGACATTGAACAATATCTTTTCTTCTAGGCTCCTTCAATGCTTCCTTCTGCCCTCATACCTCTGGCTGTCGGGATCAGGTAATTGCAGAAAGCCAAATTGAACTTGATGTTTCTGCACCTGAAGTCTCTGTTACAGTAGTGATACCTGATGGAAAAATGCTCATTCTGGTAAGTTTATTACACAAATGTACTTGGAGATATTCTTCTCAGTTTTAACTTCATTTAGAAATGGATGCCCAGATTCAGGGATCCATGAATCTTGGAAAGTCAGAATTTGTTTTTTAATTTTCTTTTTCAAATTTTTAGGATCTTGTAACTTATTTTTGTATTTTAAATTTTTAAGACACAGTACTCTGATTTCATTGTGCACTGCTTGTAGTGTAACAACTTTGGGGGGAAGATACAAGACATATATTGCTGTTTTTCAATTCAAATGTTATGGTTTGTTAGAAAATCCCAAAGTAATAATGACATTTAAATATATAAATGCCTTATCTCATTCATTTTGTTTTTCTCTGAAATGTAAAGTTCAGTTTTCTTGTTGTTTCAAGGAAAACATCTTAGTTGTTCCAGCAGATAACTACAGTTACAAAATTCTTGAAAAAAAGACTGTGGACAAGTCATTTGATTTTATCAGCCAGTGTGGAGGAAACAGTTTTTATATTGAGTAAGCATCACTTTCTAAAAAAAACTGAACTTCTGTCATTAAGATGTGAACTATTACTATTTTCACTCCATATTGATGAAGTGTGTAAAAATCCCATCACTGTGCTGCATGAATACGCTTTTCATGGCTTATACTGGCTCATCGAAGTTCTGTGAGTCACCTTTCCATGGCTTTCTGTGTAAATGAAATGTAAAAGTAGAGCTTTATTGCTCACTGTACAAAAGAGAAGAACCTGTGTCATCTCTGTCTTTAGTATTTCCATCCTTGCTACCTGGTATTTTGCTTGGCATGCCTGAGCAGATGTGACTAATATAGACACTTTGCAAAACGCATCTCTTACCTACATGTTCAAAGCTGTTTGTTACTAACTATAATTAAAATATCTCTGAATGCGTGTGGATACCATCCTTGTGTCGGGGAATTTTCCTAAAGAGAGGAACCTAATTCCCTGAACCACTGCAGTGTACTTACCTTGCAATTTCCAAGCCTTACATGATTTATATTTTAATTTCAATAGCCCCAAAGGATCACCAGCCTTCTGCAAGGATTCCATTAGGTCGCTGGTGGCTTCCTACAATAACGGAGCGGTGCCCTGCAAGTGCCACCAAGCAGGTGCCACCAGCCCTGCCTGCAGCCCCCTGGGGGGACAGTGCCCCTGCAGACCCAACGTCATCGGTCGCCGCTGTAGCCGGTGCCGAACAGGCTACTATGGATTTCCGTTCTGCAAGTGTAAGTACAGCCCTGGCCTGCTGGACAGCTGAGCAGCTCTGTGCCCTCTGCTCTCCCTGAACAGCCACTGCAGCTGCAGCTTTCTCCACAGGCCTTCGCCGTGCGAGAGGCTAAGCGAGCTGGCCTAGATTTAGGCAGGAGTTCATTCCCTTCAAAGGCTCCTGGTTTAAGATGAAGTGTGCCCTCGTGGGTATTGTCTGATCATGTGTGGTAGCCTTGTTGATTAAAACCCATATCATCTTTCTTCCAGTTGCATAGGTTTTCCTGCACCGACTCTGAAACAGCTTGCAAGTTATTACTGTTGTATCTCAGCCTTCAAGATTTCTTCTAGATAGTCACAGACAAAAAATGATTCCTAGTTACACCAGCAGACTGCTTAATTGGACAAACGCTCCTCAGCTCCCTTCCCCAGATACTACGTTTTATCTTTATTAGTGTTCCTGTAAAAAGATTGCCCTTAACACAAAAACTATTGATTGAATTGATAGTACTTGGAAGCTTGTGGAAATGATAATGCTGTGATGAATAAAGAACCAATCTATGGAAAACAGCCAGAGCCTTAAGCTACTCTCTGAAACAATCACATTTTCTGGAATCCTGGCTCATGTCACTCACACATCATTGTAATTACTGAATCACAGCATGGCTGAGGTTGGAAGGGATGTCTAGAGATTACCTAGTCCAACCCATCTGCTCCAGCAGGGACACCCAGAGCACGGGGCACAGGGCGACATCCAGGCGGGTTTGGAAGATCTCCAGAGAAGGAGACTCCACAGCCTCCCTGGGCAGCCTGTGCCAGGGCCCTGGCACCCTCACAGGAAAGAAGTTCCTCCTCACATGGAGATGGAACTTCCACTGTTTGTTGAAGTTAAACAAGCCACTCAAGACACAGTGAAGTTTGATCATTATAGATTGAGATGGGTTAATTTATAGAACATTTTCTTTGATCTAGTATGCAACTGTGGCCGGCGTCTTTGTGATGAAGTAACCGGTAGATGCATTTGCCCTCCTGAAACACTGAGACCAAGATGTGAAGTGTGCAAGGAACATTATTTCAGCTATCACCCTCTTGCTGGCTGTGAAAACTGCAACTGTTCACACAGAGGAATTGTTAATATGGCAAGTCCAGAATGTGATAAAAACAATGGGCAATGCAAGTAAGTTTAGATTATTGTATTAAACTCACTTCATAACTAATATAAGAATGTGTATTTATAAAAATGCATGAATGATTTGCTTCATTCTTCAGGTATCTGGAAGAGATGGGGGCAGTTTTAGGAACAAGGGTTTAAGCATTGCTAGCTTATGGTTAGAACTCAGCTGCTTCAAGGATACCTGGAATATTTAGTGGAAACGTGGTTTATACAGGGAATTAATGGTGAAATTTGAAGTGACAGCACATGACCAGTTTTTATCTATCTGGTATGGCTTATCCAGTGACCAGTTAGTAACAGACCTCAGATCATTCTGGCTTCTAGATGTGTACATCAATTATAATTATGTACAGAATATCCCCAATTCTTAAAACTGTGAAGTTTCCTTCAACTTTCTAAAAGCTGTCAACTCTGTAATGTTAATAAAACTTGAATAATGTTTGTAAAGAGTTTTGGGAAACTTTGGTGATAGACACTATGTGTATGGAAAATCTTTTTCCATTGGAAATGTAGATGATAATTGCCCTTAAAATTAGGTCCTACATATGATGTATGTTTATTTTTCTGTATTTCAGCATATTTGGGTGCTTTTTTAAATTCTCCTTTTTACATTATCTAAAAAATATGACACACAGATGAAATGCTGAATTTTCATAAATTTGCATCCCATCAGCATTAGTGTAGTTGAACATGTCTGTTTTCTTGGGAGTCCTTAAATACAACCACAAATACCTGATAGTCAGGAGGCTGCGTAGAGCCAGATTTATTTGAATATATTTGGTTTGGCTACATGTTTGCAGAGTCCTGACAGAAAATACAGTCTTTCTGCCATTAATTCTGTAAATATGACAGAAACCTCATTTTCAGAGAATATATGTATTATTTCCTGAGTTTAAATTATTTTGTGAAGTCTGTGCTTTCCATGTGAACTGATTTGATAATTGCCTTATCCTAAAGGCAAAACCAAAATTTGTTTTTATAGCAGTTGGGGTTCTGGGTTAAACTGTAGCATAGTCTCCCTCTCCTGATGCACTCTAAATCTGCGGGTTTTAGTCTCTGCTTTCATTTCTCTCATACTTTATCCTCATACAAGTCAACCAAAGCTGTATAAAAAAATAAATAAGTCCATAACTTAATCTAATACTCCAAAGAATGTGCTTAGCATGTTTATGTTCCAGTAAAATTGAGGATCTTTTTCAGAAATATATATTTTTTCAGTGAGAAGGCTGTGGTTTTTTTTCACTAGGAGCTTAGATTGTAAAATCTGTGAAAATGACAGTTTACTAGTAAAAAGTACTGAAGCAAAAAATGACATTTAGCAAATATTTTTGCACTGATTACTGAAGGACGCAGCCAGTCATTACATTCTGATGAATATTCTTCCTTCGGGGACTACATGAAGTTTGAAGCGCCCATTTAGCTCCAGGAACCTGCCTGTGTGGGTAACACACCTGGGTGACAGTGACAAACGTCTCCCATTGTTTGCTGAATTGAGCAATGGTTTTTAGGTGTTGTATGAAGTGCAGTGTACCCTGTCCACATACTTTAACAATTACCTCCATTAAACTCATACTGTTTTGAAAGTCATCTTTTCACAGGTAAATTTTAAAGGCCGAAGCCACCATAATTATTCCTATGCCTGGGGTTCTCCACCTTTTTAGGAGGCAGTTGCCTTGACTAAGGCCCTGGCGTGTCCTGCAGTTAAGTCTTCTGCTGGCTCTGCTTCCCTGTGTACTGCAACACATGTGCTTCACACCTTGGTGCATCCAGAGAGCAGCTCATAGCTGCAGGCCCTCAACAGCTGCAGAAATGCGCTTCCTCAGCGAGCATTCAGACCACTCCAAATCAGATGCGTCCTCCAGTAGCTGTGTGATCACTATAAGAAATTGCAGTATCTCTCCCATTTGGAATTTGAGGGCAATACTAACCTATGGCTGCTCTTCCTTGGAAGTGATGCAGTTGTTTGAGCCCTGCAGTCACTTTAGAGGTCAATCTGCCCTTGGTTTTCATCTTCCTCCTCCCTCTCTTCCTGCTTCTCCTATTGACTCTTTCCTATGGGAGAAGAACTAACTGCTGCTGTGTTTGTTTGTTGATAAAGCTGCAAACCAGGAATAAAGGGACGACGGTGTGATCAGTGTGCGCCTGGTACTTATGGTTTCCCAAACTGCATTCCGTGCAATTGCAACAGAGGTGGAACAGAACCAGCTGTTTGTGATCCCCAGACAGGAATTTGTCTCTGCAAGGTCAGATAAACCAAGTTACTTATGCATTCATGGACAGCATTTGCACTTCAGTGAATATTTTGTATTTAATCAGGTGAACCAAGTGAGTTTATCACCAGGTTTTCGGCAAGAATTAAACTCATCTGATCCCCACCATGCAGTAAGTGCACAGGTTAGCATGACTGCAGAAGAATGCAATTTTTAACGAGCTCGCTACCTGTGAGTTTCACTGGTGGTTGTTGTCTTTGCAGGAGGTTAAGGTGCTATCAAGTAGATGTTCAGTAATTCAGTGAAACAGTCTCTACCCCCCACACATCTGCTTCATGCATCTGCACCTCAGTTTTTGGATGCTAATCAAGCCCTGTGCTTTTCTTAGCCATGTTATGCTGCTTGACATTTCACTGCAGCATTATATCTGGGAAGTCTTTTGTTGTGATTTGAATAATTGAATGTGATAAATGTGAACTTTCACAAGCCACCATTTAGATTGCAGGCTTGGAAATCCCAGCAGGAGGGTTTTGGCAGGGAAGCTACCAGCTGTCTCAGACTAGTGTTTATTATTCTGCAGTTCACATTATATGCTGGAAAGCTTGTAGCTAAGCAGCTCATAACTAAGGTAGTTTTGAAGAAGTCAGTTTTGTTTGCATTTAGAATATGATGTAAACAGACAAGCATACATTTTTGTTGGTGCTTCCATAAATTTAAGTAAATACCCAGTCAGAAGATTTGCTTTATGTGAAATTTTTGGACTCACCATTAATCTAAGGAATATTCTAAGAATTCTTTCAACTTTGCCTTAACAGGAGAATGTTGAAGGCGCAAAATGTGATGTTTGCCGGCCAGGATCATTTTATCTGGATCCTTCTAATCCCAAGGGATGCACCTCTTGCTTTTGTTTTGGCGCAACCAATACCTGCCGCAGCACAAATCATCGTAGAACCAAGGTGTATTCAATAGTTTTCTCTTTGCTGTCGTGAACCTGCTTTCTTCCCATTAAGGAAATGCCAGATTCCTTCCGGAATTGAAATGATGTTTTATTAGGTGCTAAGGATGCAAAATATTCTGCAAGAAATTGTGCAGATTATGGTGCAGTCTCATTAAGATTTCTGTATAATCCGAAAGTGCTTTTCATAAGAAATAGCCTATTTCGTGTGTTTGCTTACAAATCACTAATTGCTGGCAAATCAGTAGCTGAAGTAATTGAGTCAGCCATCTCTTGATTTAGATTTATACACCAGTTCATCTTTAAAGTCAAAGTCTCCTTCAAGATGCTTTCATAAGCATATGTGTGATTTTACATCTCTAGATGTAATCTGGATTATGGCACTTAAGCAAAGGATGTGAACTTGGCCTTGGTGAGGTCGGTAGCAAACTTCCATTGGCTTTAGGGAGCTTTTACCCAGTGGTTGCCTGTCTTTCCCCAAATGCCTTGAAAACATGTCTATTTTCTTGTCATACTGCTTTGGGAACTGGCCGGGCCATATACATTAGGCTTTCTTTCCTGGGAGTGCAATGATAAATAACAGGATGTCTGGTCACTTCATGAAGAAAAAAGCCAAATTGAAATGTCCAGTAGTGAAGAGCCAGAATTTTAGACTACATTACCTGCTTCCCCCTGGTATCCTACCCTGTTCCCTACCTCTCTGTTACCTCACTGCACTGCAACGGGTCCATGCTTTGTCTTTTGTGTTAGTGCCTTTGGCAGCTGCAAATTATGTCTTTGTTACTTTGTCACCACATTCACTGTGGGACACCTCCATAAGGATTGTGACTTCATGTGACTGAAGCCAGGATTAATTCACAGCTAACTAGTCAAATGCCCCCATCCCATCAGCTTTAGCACATCTGTCCCACTTAGCTCCCTTTTGTGAGGCCCTTACAACATCCTCTGTGCCGAGCCTTTAGACTGGCAATGAAGGGATTGAATATAATAGGGAATTACAGAGTCAAAACATTTTTGCCTCATTAGTTGATCCTGGGAAAGAGTAAAACAAACTTTTATTTTCTTTATGTATTTTCATTAGTTTGTGGACATGAGGAACTGGCGTTTGCAGACAGTGAATAAAAACATTGACATTCCAGTAACCTTCAATCCCGTCAGTAACAGTGTAGTGGCGGATGTTCAAGAATTGCCTGCTTCAGTGCATAGTTTGTACTGGAAAGCCCCACTGTCCTACCTGGGAGAGAAGGTAAGTGACACCAGACTCATGATTTTTTATATTAAGTGTTCATTTTTGCACCACCTTTGATAAAAGGTCTACTTCTCTGTCTGGGATACATTTATCTCTCTTCCCCCAATAGATTCTTATCTCTGCCCCTTGACCTGCCAGGAATCACAACATTTGACTTTTGAGTACTGTGTTAAACATATAACCATTAATACAGAATTGATCATCTCGCGGGGTGTCAGAGTGGTATGAACAGCATGGTCAAAGTGTGGTTTGGGGAACTGACACCTTCAGGCACTCACCTCACAGAGCTTGTGAGACTCACAACACACAGAGCTTGCCAGTGCCAGAGTATCCTTTAGACTCCTTAAGAATATGTCCTGGGCAGACTTCCAAGGCATAGAAGATGATTAAGTACTCAACTGCCAACAAAAATGCCGTCTTTGTATTCCATATGTTGCTGGAAAGACTGATTAAATGAAGGAGGGCAAGGTCTAAAGGTTTGTTATTTCATTGTGTGACTCCAGTACTACATTTTTTGCTCTTTAACTTTACACTTACCGTTTGTGTCAGGGGAGGTTTTCGTGAAGGGAAGAGCAGCACCTGGTTTGTAGTTTGAATTATGTGCTGCTCTTCCTGCTCAGGCATGCAGGGAGTCCCTCACTGACAGTTACTGTTCACCAGCATCTCAGCCTGGGGTTCACACTCACCAGGCAAGCTTTGCTGGTGGCTGAATGCAAGCTCAGTGTCCACACTCTTCTCCAGCTGTGTCTAACAGTGTCTGTAGCTGCTGGCTAGCTGCAAGATATATAGGCTTTTCAGATGCAGTCTTCCTTTTTCAAAAGAGAAAAGTAGTGTTGTAGGCACAATTGTATTAAAGATGACACAATTTGTGAAGTTCTTCTTAGTCTCTTTTAAGGAGTGCAGCAGTTTGTTTCATCCTACTCCTGTGTACAGAGGTAAATATGTTTCAAAGTGATTGAAGAGTGCGCTTAGCTAGGGCACTTGTAATTTGCAAGAGATTTTTGTTTCAATGCAGTTATTTTCTGAAGAAGTTTCATTAAGAAAAATTGTTTACTGTCATAGTATTAAGCTGAAAGAAATTTTATTAATCCCATAATAAAATGTAAAGCAATCAATAACCCTCTAAGCATAGCTATGAAGAACAGTGCTTTGCTCGTTATGTTACTTATGACAGTATCGAACCAGGCATGTCAGGACTTGCATTTATTTACAGTGTTAACACTGTAAATAAAATAGATCGAATTTGGCCTTGCTTTTATCTTCAGTTATATGTAAGTATATATTTTAGTTGGCACTGGTGGTATCACATGGCTAGTTTTACAAGCCAGTAAGCTTCATTCGTTTTATCCTGTGATGAAAATTTCAGTCTTTAGTCTATTTCCAGTAATATCTCATTTGGAAAATGTGAACAAGATGACTACAAACATCTTTCAATATGAGGATACTGAAAACACCATTTTCTATCATCTTAAATATTTTAATCACTTCAATTGAAACACTAATATTTAGAAGAGTATATTTTTCTGTATGTAACTTTTGTTTACAAGGGGGAATCAAATGTAAAATCTACAGTAGTGCCATAAACTAACTCTCATTGAGAGTCCTCCATGTAGGCTTTTCCTGGTGTAAGAAGGCTATGCCTGGAGCTTCTTTTCCCCTCTCTATATTTCTAACCAGTGCACTCAAGAACTGCCCAGGGAAGCTATTTGTCACCTAACTCAGACATACTTGCCCAAATTTGTGTATTGGACAGCAGTGTATTTATTTGTTTTTCTTTGAGGCCTCTGTGGTCATTAATAGTTAAGCCAAAAAAAGGTAATTTTTAGCTCGAAATCAAGGGTCGGATATCACCTTCTTAAAGAGGTGAGATCAGTAGAAGTCCTGTCTGCTGGGAGGTGACACAGAGATTTCCTGATTAGGTTCAGGTTTGTTAAAAGCCTAGAAAATGTTCTTCATGAGCAGAATCTCTCCTCTAGAATTTGGGCAAGAGCATTCAGGTGAACATGTGATTTTCCCCATGACACAGATGACACAATCCCAGATATTAAAAAATCCTGGATGAATGAGTAAACTTGAATACAAAACTTCATTAATATCAAGCAAATAGTTCAGTGAAATATTTCTATGCTTGTGTGTTTTATTATAGCTTTCTTCATATGGCGGCTACCTAAGTTACCAAGTGAAATCATTTGGTTTGCCCAGTGAAGGCATGGCCCTTCTGGATAAAAGACCTGATATAGAACTGACAGTAAGTTTTGTCCTGTTGTTTTTTTTCTTTCAAGCAGTATCAGTACCATGACTTCTTCTGTTTACCCTGCAGCTATTGTGAATTTTACTGCTGCAATGTGCCTAGCTTTTACAGCAGCATGCTATTTCTATAAAAGTGATTTTATTGCATTTTGCTCAAAGCCATCAACACACTTATCTCTGTTGCCAGAGAAATATATTATTAATCATAACTGACCTGAGAGCAAATAAAAAGATAAAATAGAGTTTTTTGTATAAAACGCACCTGTGGAAAAAAATATAATTAATGAATTCACACTTTTCAGCAAGTATAGCCTTGACTTTGCAAAATATGTCCTGAATTCTGTGTGTAATTAATCTCATTTTCTGTGAGATTTTTTCAGCGTAAAATTAAGTGTAATTATAAGCCTTTGATGGACTGAAGGAAAAATGCATTTTAGGTTAACTGCTTTCTAATTCAGTTAGATGAAGGCCAAAATTAGAACCTCAGTTCTTTGTTTAAATTGCCAACAGAATGGCTTCAGGCCATTGGAAATATTAATTCAGTCTTTTAGAATTCGCCCTGGAAAATGTTTCATGAAGTGTTCCTGTAGCATCCCACTTGTTTGTGCATCAGGGTCAATGAGTGTTGCTCAGTCCAGTTCCATTTTACTTCCCTTTTTATGATAACAAAAATATTGCACTCAAGACAAACTTTAAAGATGTAACAGGATGTTGCTGCTTTTTTAAAAAGAAAGCAAGGGCAGCAAAAGACACTATCTACAAAACAGAAATAGTAAGTAGTTCCTGTAAAAAAAAAATGGCAAGCATTTATTTTATTATCTCTGTGTTTTATCTGAAAGCACAGAGGTTAATAAGCACAAACAGGGAAAAGCCCATTGACACTAGAACACGGTGCTTGCTATGTTACCTTGCTGACAAAATGACAATTTTCATGGTATTACTTAGTTCTTACCCTCCAAATGACAAGATTAATGTGCTTCACCAACCTCTGAACACTTTATCATAAAAGGCAGTGAAATGGTGATGTTATACCCTCACTCCCACACAGGGCCAGCAAATGAAAGTAGCTTATGTGGATCCTAACAACCCACTGCCTGACCGTCAGTATTACGGCCGTGTTCAGCTAGTTGAGGTAAGAAATTAAAATATAATGGGCTCAACTTTCCTCATCAGTAGAAGTCCATTTCACATGCTTTCCCTTTTCTTCTCTGAGGTACATGAAAATAGTAATCTCTGTGGAAATGGCAAATACTTGATAGTGTTAATGAATAAAAACTTCTCGAATGCTGTAGATTTAAAATATAAAATATATGTATTTTTCTCTTTCCTGTCACATTGAGCTGGGCTTCTGATTCATGCCATCTATTTCTAGCATCTTTAAGTTATGTCTCATGTCCAGTCTAGTCCTTAGCACTCCCTATCCTTTGGAGTCAGTGGAGTAATACTGACTCAATGATCAATGAAAGATGATTCATCCCATCCCCAGACATGTACTTAACAGAGGTGGAATGAATTGTTATCTCTTTTCCTCGTCTTATTCTAAAAGGAGTCTAGGTACATAGAGTGGATGTCCAACATTTGAACAGATGAAGTTAGCATTTCCTACCTTAAGTCTCTGCTCAGAGAATTAAACTTGGGTAGTTTGGTCCCACTTACAGGCAAAAAATATAATGTTTTTTCAAAGGAAGTTCCATTTTCAGTTAGATTGTGTGAAGGCAGTCCTGAAAAATTGGGGGTTTAGGACTTTGTTTAATCTTAAAAAGAAAATAATTTTCCTCTGCCTTTTTTATTTGGTGAATGATCCCTCAAAGAAATTTGACTGAGAAAGAATCTCTCTACTTCATCACTATTCCTATCTTAAAACGAATTCATGATACTTCAAAGTCTTACATACCTTTCCCAGTATCAGCATCCCCCTGGATCTTTGTTTTCACTTCCTGAATATTGAATTATTTAATTGTCTTTCCTTATGTCTGTACTACTTTCTACAGCATATCCCCATTGATTCCATGGAAATCAATGAAACTATTGATGATAAATGAAATGAAACATAGATTCCAGGGGAATCTATGAAACTATTCTGTGTTTACATTCATGATTTTTGTTTGCCTGACCTCTGTTTCCCTCCACAGTTCCCTGTACCACAGTACCTGGGACTATGGGGGTCTATTCTGCAATTTTTTTTTTTCTGTTTTCTGCCACCTTGTCTTCTCTGCAGATATTCTTTTTGAAGAAGTTGCCGGACTGTGCTCATTTTCTATCCTTAATCTGCAGGGAAACTTCAGGCATTCCAGCAGCAATAAGCTTGTATCCAGGGAAGAGCTCCTGGTGATCCTGTCTAGACTAGATGGCTTACACATCAGAGGCCTCTACTTCACGGAGACTCAGCGATTAACCCTTGCTGAGGTTGGGCTGGAAGAAGCCACCAGCGCAGGAAGCGGCAGCATTGCCTACAATGTAGAGACATGTTCCTGCCCTCCTGAGTATGCCGGTGACTCATGTCAGGTAGGAGATGTTTGCCTCCATACTGTGCCATTATCTCCTGCCTTGCCTGCAGCTATACATACTGGGTGAATTAGAGAAAGCAAGTAGTTATTAAAATACTTAAATATGCTGCTTCTAAGTTTGAGCTCTCCTGGTGGTTCAGTTATTTGCACTGTCTAAGTAGCTCTTTAGGGCTGTTCAACTCTTGATTGCATTGTGGAACTGTAAATGTAATGTACAATGTGCAGTGTAATATAAAATAACACATTATGACTACACCATACTGAGGAATTCTCTGCTGCCCTATGGAAGACTGAAGAATCTCAGTCTCTCTTACTTTAATGGAGAGAAGGTCAGAGTTGAATTCATCAGAGTCGCAGAGACCTTACACGAGGAGAAAGTTCTTGATAGCAGTTAGCTCCTTATGTAGTAGGGAAATGGTCCAAAGAAAAGAACTTGACCCTAGATAATTCTGGGCACTTTCCTAGTCTTTTTTGGGGAGCCTACTGTTTTTCAATTTTTATAGGAAAACATTTTAAAACTTAAGCTGTCCGTATTTGCAAAACATTTGGAGGTATTTTTTGTCTAAGATAACGTGAAAATTGCAGAATAATACTGTCACCTGGAGAATGGTGAAATCCTAGCCTCTGTAAAATATCCTGCCCCAGCCAGTTGTTTCTGTGGCTGTAAATCTTTTGGCTGTCATTTTGCTTAGCTTAGATCTTAACTCTTCTCATGAATTAATACCTGAGGTAACATAAAAAGTAGTGGAGAGATAAGTAGTGTACAGAGTGCACAAAATATGAGGCATTATTGCTTGAGAAAATGGTTGAAGGTTACCATAAAGCAGCAATAACTGTGCTAACCTCAAACCTTTTTGAGATGAGAATAGAAAACTAATAGCTAGACCAGAGCAGCTGCAGAGCCACTGACCAAACTGACCTTTACAGTTGAATTCATATACGTCCACTCCTCAGGAATTGTACATCAGCTGCTGAATATCATTTTGGAAATATTTCTAGAAATAAATTTTTCACCCATTCAATTCTGTGCCACATGCAAATTGATGAATATTTTCTGGAATTCCTACTTCCATCCCATTGCTTGCAACATACTGCCCTTATATATAGCAAGGGCTTTTTTTACATAATACTAATGAAAAACCATAGCCCAAAGGAAGTGATGAGGACGCAAAGCCGTGCAGGTCCTATGTGCTGTATGTTTGTGCAGCATTACTCATTCCATGATTTACTGCTCTAATCATCTAGCTCTGTCTGAGTGCGTTAGGTGGGGAGAAGGTGATGCCTGCCACACCTTAAGGCAGGTATATATTGAGCTGCAGGACGTGCAGAGTTACTTGTTAACCTCGGAAACTGCAATGTGTGCTCTACGGCTTGACTCACGGAGAAAGTTTAAAGGTGGGGCCCATCACGGCACAGAGCCTCATTAATCTGAGTCAGAAGCTGAAGAATAAGGGAGCGTGCAAGAGAACATTTGAATACTGAAAGCACAGCGCGTGTTAACCGTGGAGCTGAAGTAAAATGACGGCCAAAACACAGAGGCTAAAGACTGTGGGGTGGCTGCTTGTCCTTTTAGTAGTCGTAGGGCACTGTTTCGCACGAGATGCACAGCAGAAGCTGTCGTATCCTCATCTGCAGAGAAGCCACCAACAAGTTCAAAGGGATTTTAGCCTGAGACAGGTAATTTATTCATTTTCTCCTCCTTGCTCACTTCCTTCTTCCCCTCACCCTCCTTTTTTTTTGATGGACGGATTTATAACAACTTATACATTATTTAATGCAGGAGCAATCAGGCAGTTAATCTTATATCTCGATTCATTACGCTAATGAAAGGATGTGCAAAAAATTTGATTTAAATTGCTGTTTACTTAAAAACAGTCAGCCTGAACTCATAAGTGCTTCAAGGTGCCTGGAGCTTTACCTTCCTGAAGAACGAATATTTCAATATTAAGAATATTATTTGTAAAGTAAAGCTTTCAGTACTCCAGATGTATTGTTTAAAGTTTAAAAAGAGTGTAAATAGAGAAAAAAAAAAGAAAAAGATTTATTGATATGTCCACATATGCATATTTGGATATAATTCTAAAATTAATCAAAAAAATAGACTTCAATAAGTAAAAACTATATGCGCCAAAGCCTATATTTTACTTTGATATTTCAGGCCTGGCTTTTTCAGAAGCTGTGTAAACTGACTGTGTTTTTAAAAATTCACCATTTTTAAAATATATCTCAAAATATTTTGGGGGAGGATGCATGTTCAGAATTCACTCTTTGCTCGTACTGAAATCAGTATTAAAAAAACTGTTGATGATATTGGTATTTTGTGGTTTTTGTTTGTTTGTTTATCCCATATTTGAAGAAAGCAAAGGTAGCGTTTGCATCTGGTTTAAATAGCTCAATATTCCTTTTGGGATCTGCTTTGGGAGAGGTGACTTCTAGTATTTCTGTAGCTGGTACTTACACAAGTTAGTTCTGTCCCTGCACAGATGTTCATGCTTCAACCAACTGCAGCAGGACTTGAGGCCCCGTCCTGCAAACACTCTGCTCTTCAGATTGCTCCCATCAGTCTGGGTGGTGCAGTTGCTGTGAGAAAAGATTTATGGATTCCTTTAAAGTTCAACTATGACTTTTATTTCTGAGTGTCATTGGGGCCAGCCTCTAAGTATGATATAGTGGTGATGCACAGGGACCGTGTAGGCCTCCCTTGCTGGAGGCATGAATCTGGGAGGTATTTGCTTCATGGGAGCACAGCTTCCTCCCTGCTTCAGTGCTTCAGTGCTGCCTCTGATCTTCCTTGCACTGTGAAAAGGAGCTTGGGGAAGAGAGGCAGGGATAGACTTGTGCTTGGCCATTTCTTTTGTGGTTCCTGTGACAGGAGCCCTGGGAGGAAGCTGAGCAGAGAATGTGGGAATGAGCATTTGAAGTGCTCTGGAAGTGGGAAGGCTCCTTGCCCTGGAAGGATTCCTTGCACTTCCCCTCCTCTGCACCCACGCCAAGCAAGACGCTGGTTTTAACGTACTAGCTGCTGCCTACCTGGTGTAGGCTGATAAACTGAATGACAGGGTCTCCTGCTTCATTCATAAAGTTCCTCTGGTTCAGCTCCCTGAACCAGACTTTTTCAGGTTGACTTGGATCTGATGTGCTCTGTTTCTGTTCGTGTGCTCTCAATGGCTGAACATTCTTTTCATGCTTTCCTGGTCTCCGGGACAAGCCTGTACTTGCAGTGGTCTAGTGTGTCTACAAAACTCTGTGTTTTGTAAGATCATCTAGCTGTGCCTAAGTGTGGCTTCATATAGCTCCGGGTAGACTTATTTTGGAAGTCAGGATGAATTCACATTAAAAAAAAAAAATGTCATTAGAAGTACTTCCAAAGAAAACACTGCAGTTAAGTTATTATCAAGAGTTCATATAACTAGCTAATGTATGAGATTTCCTTACATTATTCTTTGAGCAGAATCAAGTATGAATCTATATCCAAATCTCTGTGTTCTACATCTTTGTATACAGCCAAGGGAAATGTGTTTTGCTCAGGGGTCAGAGTCAAAATGGTGAAAAATCCACAACTACAAAACACAGAGTAGTGTTCAGATGCTTAGGCTGAAACTGCCTCAGTTCTATTCTTTGCCATTTGCTGATTTAAAATACGTGGGCCTAGAAAAGTTTGTCAAGAAATGTATACCTCCATTACTCCTTTGGAATAGCAGACAGTTTCTTATCTCAGAACCGGTGAAAACTTTAATTTCATCAACTTTAATCTTTTTTTTTCTCCCTGCCTTTGCCTAGGAATGTGGTCTTGGATTTTATCGTGAGAACAAGGGATTATTTACTGGACGCTGTGTTCCCTGCAATTGCAATGGAAATTCAAACAGCTGTCTAGATGGTTCTGGAAAATGTATTGTAAGTAAAATATTAATGAAGAAATGAAATTGGGGAAAATAAAAAGAAGGCATTCACCTCACAGCAGGATAGGCTATATAGTATTGTCATCTTGCTGGCAGAATAAAAAAAATAGTCCTTGCATACCTCAGTGTTTATATCTGGTACTATAAATGAGTCTCATTTCCAGTCCTGCGTGCACTGTCATGTGTAACATAACTGTAGGTAATTAGAATTATTTGTATCCTGTCCTGTTTCTTCTTTGCCCTATAATTTTGGTAAATTCATGGTACAAAAAGACACGAAATTAAGCACATATGTAAAACATTTGCAATTATGTTTAATAAGTGTGAAGTAATATCATGGCATATGTAGTATAGTTTTAAACATCTAAGTTAGGATTTATAAAAACTGACAAACAGTATGTTCATGCATAGTGTAGTGTTTGCAGAATAATATCTTTTTAATCAGCGTCAGTAAATCTCTACTAATCTTAATTTACAGTTAGATGGATTTAAAAGTATTAAGATAAATGGGATACAAGTTAGATTAATTGGAAAAGTGCAGCTGTTTCACAAGATACAGTGGGGCAGAATCTGCTGCCTGACAGACTACATCCAAATTAAAATTAAATCCACCATATTAAATCCAAAGCAGCCTCATCAGTGGTGATTGACCCTAGTAGCAATGAAAATGTGACTTTTAGCCAGCAGTGGCTCTCTAGCTGCCCTCTGACACAAATTGTTTAAACTGTTTGTTTCCCAAAAAAATCCCACTTAAAACTTGTTACTAATGTTTCGCTTAATGTATAGACAAGAAGCTGGCCAGCTTGCAGTGGTTCATTTTCTGTGTCCGTCCCTCCTTGCTCGCCACAAATCCGTGCTGCCCACGGTGCGTTCCTGTCCCCGCTTTGTCCCAGCCCACGCGGCTGCCTGGGTGGAAGCTGGGAGCCAAGGGAGCCTCTTGTGGGGCTCGGCCCACGCGCTGCTTCTGAGGGGAGGCAGGGCAGGCCAGGGCAAGGAACTGCTGTCACAGAGCTGTGAAGATTGAGAGAGGTTTACTTCAGATGAAAACTGTAAATCTCCAGAAAGGCAAACTTTACTTGTCCCTCCCAAAATGCCCAGTTTGGGTTTATCTTTATCCTTCCTTTCCTGTATTGGATTAACTTTTGGCTAGATGGAGCTAAAACAGCGCTTGGCCCTGGGACAAACGCTAGGATGAGTGAAGTCATCCAGCATAATACGGTGAGGAAGATAACCCGAGGCGCCAAAATTACATTCATGAGGAGCGAGGTCTCCCTGTGCAGAGGAACCATGACAGAGGTGGCCATGGGGAGAAAAAAAGGCAGAGCGTACCGCGGAGCAAGTCACCTTTCAGGCCCGGAATGCACGGCTGGCTCGCTCGGCCTTGCCAGGGCCATGGGCCCCCAGGGCCATCCCCAGCAGCTCCTCTGCTGTCCAGCTTCCATGGGAGGCTTTGCTCGGCTCAGTTCACCCTCACCCTCTCCTCTGTGGCAGCAGCACAGTCCTCCTCAGCTCGGGCAGAGTCCTGTTGCCTGGTGGTGGGATGAGAGGGTGGCAGGGCTGCTCTCCTGAAGGTGGAGGAGAAGCGGGTACAGGAGGAGATGAGAAGCTGCTGCCCTTCTAACACAAAAGTACTTTTTGTGTTCCTCTGGTCCCCGCCTTCCCTCCTGAGAGGTACCTCCCCCATGCTGCAGCATGTGCTGAGGCTACCTCATCCTCTGGGGTGTTACTTCATGTCATGTAGCACCATATACATAGGTGTCTCCCCTGTGACCCTGGCCCATGCAGTAGTGGCATCCTGTTCCACATGGGCCCTTGGGGCTCAGGTGAGGGTTCTCCTTCCAGACTTTGGAAGGTGACTGTTTGGAAAGGCTGTGACTCCCGGCTGTCTCTGTTCTCCTGTCCTATGCAAGGCCTGAGGGAACCTAAAGAAAGACCCGTGAGGGAGTTGCTGGCTGCCTTCTGCTCTGCTTTGGGACCACTGGCCTGTGCCTGCCTGTCTTCATATGCCACATAGCTAGGGGGGAGTTAGGAACATGCGGAGTAGCTTCCATATGAAAAATTCTTCATATATATATATATATATATATATATATATAAAAATATAAATATATATATATATATAAAAGTATATGTATACACACACATATTTACTTCCATTTTGGTAGACAGAAAGGGCTTTAGCAAAACAAAAGTCAGCAGATAAATTCTGGGGATGCAACCAACCAAATATTTTCACCTAAGGCAGTATTAAATACTCCTCTTTTGCTTCTTTTGCTGTTTTATTTTTCTTCAGGTTTATTGCAGGACCATTAAGAAACACGTTGAATTTTCTAGGAGCTCTTTGCAGGACAATACTTTTTTTTTTTAAAAAAAAAAAAAAAAGGTTGCATTTTAAAATGGTTCCTTTTATAAACTTTATATTTCTTTAGCTTATCCCAGGTAAATGGCCCATAGTTACCATGAACTGAAGCTTTGCCTGCTTGTTCCCAGAGCCTTTCATAAACAAGCCACCAATTTAATTCTTTAACCAAAACAAATTACGGGTTACTATGTGCAGAGGCTGCAGGAAGGCTTGTTGGCGTTGATAAGGGAGTCTTGGTATGAGGAAATGTGGACAAGAATGGTGTACAAGAGGACAGGTAAAGGACAGAAATTGTTCTCAGTTGAAGGGAAAAGTGGCTCTCCTGCTGCACGTCCTGGTGCCAGGGCTTATAACCACAGCTTGAAGCCACTGGAGGTCCCTGGAATGGGTGACTCCTTCCACCAGATGACCACTCTCTCTTTACTTGCACTTTGTTAGTACAAAGCCAGCTTGGTGGGTCACCAAGTCCCTCTGTTGCATATTGAAGTTAGGAAGAAAACAGGGAGAGGCTCGGGGCTTGCCTTGGTGACCGCTCACCAGCGCATTCGAACAAGTTCTGTTAACATCTCCTCAACTACAGCAAAAGCACTTTGATCACCACACTTCCCCTCCATAACTTATGGATGTGTGTGACGTTCAGACAGCAATAGGAGTAAGAATGTTCCTCAAAATAAAGTGTAATTTCCAGCTATTCTATCATGGAAAGTGGGCTGTATTGGTTACAGTCTTTTTCCCAGCACTCACTTTTCATTATTTGTTGCAGTTAGCAAATTAAAAGTAAATTACATGTACACGGGGAAAGATGCATGAAATTCAAATTTAATCAGAATCTACTAAGAGAATTAGCTTTGGAATTCATTTCATGGGTTTTTTTAAGAATATATTTGGACTCAATTCACCACATGCTTTTAAATTATGTCTGCCTTCTAATTTGCGTTAAAATGCAAAATTTAAAGTTACATTTAAATCTTGTGAATTTTCAATGGCTTTTATTGAAATGTCAAGACGTAGATAATGTGTTATGGGAATTTTCCTAACAAACTACATATCTGGGTGAATCCCTTTAAAATATATTTAATACTAATTGTATCTATTCTCTTCCAAAATAGTGAGCAAAAGAGACTTTCTACAATGAGAATGACAGAAACTAATGTCTTATCGTGAAGGCAGCTTGGCAATAAATGCTTGGTTATGTGGTAGGGAAAAAACATCCTTAGAGTGTCTGAGTAGATGGGCTATAGTATTTAAAACATTAATAAAGCTATGTAGGATGAGAAGTGCCAGTTAAAAGTCTTGCTTGTTTCCTCTTTAAGAACTGCCAGTATAATACTGCTGGGGAGAAGTGCGAGCGCTGCAAGGACGGTTATTTTGGAGATGCCACTCAAGGTTCCTGCCGGACGTGCCCTTGCCCTTATACAAACAGGTACTGTAAAGGGCCTCAGAAGCCAGACATAAAGTAAAGGGAAGAAGAGTAGCGTGTAAGTTATCTTTAATCTCATGTTTACTACCGTCGTGCTCAGCCACATCTCTTTCAGCATAGAGGAGATGAGTGGCCGTAATGATGCAAGTGACATAATGATGAAAGAAGCCTTTTCTGTGAATTCAGAAAATTTAGTGAGATGCAAAAATAATTTAGAGGATTAAAGCTCATAAGCATATCTACATTTCTGAAAGATCATGCCATCTCTTGGGGCAAAAGCTCCGTTTGAACTGCAGATGATACTCAGCAAATATTACTTAGTTAGAAATAATTAAATTTCCTCAGATCTAACAAGGTTGCCAGGCTTTTAAAAGTGGACAGTAAATGTATTTTAAATGAATGATGTGCTGAGCCATGTTGTTTATGGACATTGATCAGCTCTGAAAGGTACAATGTGTTAAAGAAAAACAAGCCTAAGCTATGACTTGCTAAAGGCACCACGCGGTACTTGCAGGTGCAGGAGCAAACCCCAGGTAGCCTTAAGTAAGAGACGTGCACTCGTTGACAATAGACAGGCTTTTCATTTATTAGAGGCCTGTCTGATAGACCTGTTTCTGACAGCACTGGCCTCTTCTGCAGGTGTTTGCCTGAGGCTGCCTGAGTGTATTTTTACTCATCTTTTGCTTTAAGAGCACTGAGTTATCTAGGGAGCCCATGAGATCTGCAGTAGTTTCGTAGCTGCACTTTAGGCTGGTATATACCACTCACTACATGGGAAATGTATTTTCCATTACTGGAGTCAGCAGTTTTGAGCTAGCTCAAATTATATGTAATTCTTAGTGCAGACTTCTGACACCTGTCTATGATGGAGAGACTATTCATGGAAACAACAAAGGTGGCCTGTCTTGTCTTCACCTCCTGCCTTCTTCTCACCAAACAATGGGCAAAACAATGGTGAGCCACCCCACTGAAATGTCAGTGTGGGTGAGTCTGCTGGAAGGACTGTACAAAAATGTTCATTGTGTTAATAAGATATAGCCTAGAGCTTTCTGAGGTAAGGCACAGCTCTATCCTGCCTTGCTTAGAAAAAAGAGTTTTAGCTACATAAAAATATGATCTGATGCTTCCATCCATAAATAAGCAAAGAGTTATACAAACAAGAGGGAACTTTATCTAGCACAGACTATTGATTTTTGCCTAGTAAGATAAAATAGCCACATAGGCTTGTTTTATCTTACATCATTGCTATTAAGGTTTATTTTAGGCATTCCTTTGTGGAATGAACTATTGCATTCTGTCCAGAAGGTCAGGAAATTATTATTTTTTAATCAAAGGAAACAACCTAAAGAGAAAATTTGAAACTTCAAAGAACTAAGACGCTGCAATTTATCTGGAGGCAATTAAATTAACTCGGTCATAATTTGGTATAAAAGCCTTTTAATATGAAATTCATTTAACTGAATTTAGCATCTAGAATGTAAAATGGATTTAATTATGTGCTCACAATGAATGTTTTGTTTCTTCTTACAGCTTTGCAACGGGCTGTGTAGCAAATGGTGAAGAAATCCAGTGTCTGTGCAAAGAAGGCTACACCGGCGTTCGCTGCGAACGGTACGTGGCTTGTTTCTCAGGGCAGGTGTCTGCCAGAGACACCGTGAAAGGAGGTGGATTTGTATTATGTAATATGTGTACACACGTGTGTATGCAAAACATGCACGTACTCAAGGAGGCATCTAATTATGTAAATAGCTGCTGTCGTGTGGTGCTGTAGTAGAATTGCAGATGAGACCCGAGCACACCTGAATAAATGTAAGTAACTCTCCGCAAGAAATTCACTGACTACACAGCTTTTATCAATGAGAGAAACATCAATCACTTTGAGCATGTGCTCTGTGTCTTCTGTCTTACTCTTCACTCTTGCTAATAATAATACTTCCACTCTGTCCCATTTCCAATTGGAAACATTTCTTCCAAGGTGTTTGCTGGTGCTCCAGTCTTCTTAGTTAGCTACCCAGTGGCAACCACGTAACGTTGAGTACCATAACCTCCAGGCCAGAGCGTTGCCACGTGCCCTGCAGGTGAGGTGTACAAACACCATGCCGAAGCTCTGTCTTTTGCTGGAGTGTTACAACGGTTTGGCTGAGCAAAAGAAATAGAACATAGCAATTTCAGGCAGGAAGAGGAAGCAATTTCATTGAGTGTCAAATCCAGGAGGATTTAAGGATAATGGAATGGGGTTGTCTGATTTGGAAACCTCAGGCTAGTAAGTCACAGGTGACTCACCTGAGGACAGTAGCACGTTATCTTTTAGCAGTGCAACTTAACAGCATTTCAGGACTGTTACCTTTGACTTAAAAGCAGTAGGTTATGAACAGATTTGTTCTTCCAGCTCTAGCGGTTCCAGTGGAAAATAATGCCACCATCAGCTATTCCTCATGGCCCCTTGATCATACATTACAACCCCTTTAGGTCATACAACAACGTGACTTTTAGAAATATTAGCTAGCCGATCCAGCCAATGTGTTTTCCCTAGAAACTACTTAGGAATTGCTCGTGCAGGCTGTGTTGCTGGCGGAGGGCAGAAGGAGGTGGCGTCCAGCAGAAGGGTGGCGACCTTGGGTGCCACGGCCCTTGGAAAACTCAGCATGTGCTTGCAGCATGATGCTAGGGGAGACATGAATTCTGGTGGGATCACAGAACAGAATGATAGGATTTGCCAGGTCAAGCCTTTTAAAACTCTCTTGAAGTGTGTGTTTTTGTGCCTGTGTGTTTTTATAGACCAAGTGAATTATTTTTAGATGAGCACTGTGGGAGTTATTTTATTTTTAGAAACGTTTTCTGTAGTGCTTGGATTGAGATTTTTAACGGAGTGCAGAGTATACTGTAAACCAAAAATAAATGATTTTTGTCTAAGTCAAGAAATGAAATCTACTACTTGACAGTTTCTTCAGGAGGAGAATTGGGTCTTTGTTATGTGAAAATATATTTGCCAGAAGCAGGTTCAAATACTTAATACAACTATATTTGTGTCTCTTTTATCTAGCTGTGCTCCTGGATATTTTGGAAATCCACAAAAATATGGAGGCTACTGTCAAAAATGCAATTGTAACAATAATGGGCAGCTGGTGAGCTGTGACCACCTGACTGGAGGTATGCAAGGGCCTGTGACCATGTTTACACTCTGGGAAGCAGAGCAGTAAGATCTTCTGATTAGCTGAGCTGAAGGAAGTACCTAGACTTATAAGAAATGGAGCTCATTTTTCAACAAATGTAAGGTTTTGTGAAATATAAGAGCATACTAATGAAAGAGCTCTGCTGAATCACTGAGCTTGCCCTTGCAGGGCATTTTATCATGTATTTTCCTTTCTAAACATTATCAGTTATATTTTGCTTTTCTATTTCATGGGTGTGCATATAAATGCATTAATATTTTTCCTTTAAAATAGTTATCATATCTTGCCACTCTGTGTTAGGGATTATGAAACATGCCTCATGGAGCAGTCTTAATATCCCTTTCTAAGGGTATCAGAGACATACTAGTAACGTCTTCAGTGTGTGTCAGGCACTACTGTATGAGGTATATCTAAGCTAACTGTGTTTGCCATGGGAGATAAGCATCTGACTGGTACTCAGGAGGCTGTTTTGGAAATCCTGCTCTACACCAATCTGCAGACTGCAACTTCCTTAATTTTCCTAGCATCAGTTCTACACATACTCCCATACCAGATAGGTTCTTCAGAGGCTTTTACACCACAGGTACATGTTTGCTTTATCTACTATAATTCTGAGGTAAACGGTCTACGTCTGTGTCCCTCAGCCCTTCCTGTGATTCACCTCTTTCCTTTGAAATACCCTTCATTCATAAATGTGCAGGTGCCGTTCTTGGTTCTCCCGTGTTTTTCCTCTCCAAAAAAATTACCTTTCTTTCACCAGAGGCGGCTTTTCCTTCTCTCATTGTAGTGAAGTGTCAGACTGATACACTCCTGTCTCACATTTCATTTCCCTGCTCTCCTGTTGAGACTGTAATCAAGTGACTTAAGGATCGTGATGTGGTGATGTGAACTGCAGTTGGTACCTGACACAGTTTCTCAAAGGCTAGTTCTCATTTTCTCTTTCATCATTAAAATAAGGCTTCTTCGTTACATTTATATTTTGTGTGGAACAGATTCAAGCTTTGTTTGATGTTTTACCTTTCTTTCCTTTTTGAAGCAAGAGTTTGCTAGGACAGACTAATCCTCAGGGCAAAATTCAGCAAGCCAGTTTGTTTTCAGTTTGTCTCCAACAATATATTCTATTCAGCCATCTTTTTCTCTGCATTAGCAATAAAACCTTCTGTGATCAGCAGCACAGCATGTTCTAGCAGGTTGATACGTGCGTGATGTTTGGCACTTGGCTGAAGGTTTTCATTTCATCATTTCTTGGCTGATGTCATTTGTGCACAAGCTGCAATAATACTTTTATTTAGCTGATACTTCATAGCCACAGCTGAAATGTATCTGGTGCTAGCTGAATTATACAACAGCAGGACTGCACGTGTATTTGCTTTCAAAATAATTTTCATCTTTCTCTTACAAACAGATTCTTTGTGACTTCCCTTCTCTTGGCAGGAATGCTCACTACCAGTGCTGTTTAACCTCCTGATGGTTTAATGGGCAAGTGCCAAAGGAAATGGCACAGCTAGGCAGTCTGTTCCAGGCTGTTTCACGCTACTGTTAAAGTTCAGGTCTAATTTTATCACCGTAGCTGTTGTTGACTCTTGATAGCAGCAGCAGCAAAGGCTGCTAGATCCTAAGTGCATCATCTGAAGGAAAAGACTTGCTCAGCCCTTTCCAACAGGCAATGGCAGCCACCCTGTGAATTTTTCAGTAGTCAATAGGACTAAATCTGTAACAGGCACCTAGGCATAAAGACAGGAAGATTCCTGTCCTATACGATGATATTTTTAGGAGTCAGCTCCTGCCTCCTAAAAGCTGGAATTCAGGGTAAGAATCATGCACATTGCTGGAGACTTGCTGCTGACCTTCTTGCAGCGAGTTTCATAAGATCTCAGCCTGTGGGAGAGGCAGTGCTTGAGCCGACTTGCTGGTCGGCGTGTCAGCAGCACCTACACATCCTATATGCTGCGGATGTCGAAGGCCCAAGCTCTGTGCCGTGGCTTATGGACGGGGCCATCCATATGCTCTGGGTTTCTCTCAAGCCCCGTTAATCTCTTCACCCTGTGACCTGGAGCAGCCACAAAAGAAAGCTATAAACATTTCTCAGGGAATTATACTGTGGGTTAGAATCCTCTGGGGAATAAGAATGTGTGGTTCAAATGTAGATGGCAAGGTGGATAAAGGGTTTGAAACTATGTCCTGGGTAAATGCTTTAACTAGGAGACTCTGTAGCCAGGGCTTCCACCACAGTGTTGTTATTCAAGGCAAAGTGGACTGAGTTCAGCAGTCTTGTTGTGTAGCAGCAAGAGGCTCTCTGGCAAGTGGCCTGTGTTAGGAGGCAACAGCCAGCCCTGGAAGGATGAGTAAGGTGTATATGCCAGCAAGGTGCAAGGAGGAGCTGAATTGAGCTCAACTCTGACTGGTTCACCCTGGTTTTGGATTTGTGAAAGGGCTACATGGTGTTTTTATGGCTGCCAACCGTGGAAAGTGAGTGTAAAATTGCAATAGTTACATTTCCATAAGAAAGTCTTTGTTACTGATGAGAGTTTTCTGATTTCAGAGTGCTTAAATAATGAACCGAAAGATGTGGATCCTGATGAAGATTGTGACTGTAAGTAATAAAACAGAATTGCACTTAGGTTGCTGATTGCTGGCTATGGATATATACTGATGACTGCTTAAAGATGGCAGACTTTAAAAAGGGATGGTGGTGTCCTGCAGTGCATCTTTAAAAAGGAAAGAGTCAAGCAAACACTTGGGAAATAAGATGAAAAAGGCAATTTAGCCAAATGTAGTTGGGGCTTCCTTCTTACCTCTGGGTTTGGTCACTCACTTTGAGACTATGGGCCTTGTTGTTGCCTTTGTTCTTCAGGTCACACAAGGTAACAAGCATCAAAAAGTTTCCATTGCATCTTATTTATCAATGCACTCCGAGGATTGTTCTCTGCAAAATCTCAATAACATGTATTGTTTCCCTTTGTTTGTGCCCTTTGCTTGCAGCCTGCGATAGCTGTGTAATTACACTGCTCAAGGATTTGAGCACAATAGGTGATGAGCTCCAGCTGATTAAGTCTCAGCTGCAGAACGTCCGTGCGAGCTCCCACACACTGGAGCAGATGAGGGGCTTGGAGACACGCATCAAGGACTTAAAGGTACAGACACACAAGAAGAGCAGCCTTGCACTGGTTTCAGATGCAGCATGCAGGAGCTGAACCTGGGAATTATGCCCTTTTTGTCAGCTCGCAGGCAGACATTGATGAAGCTCCTGTTTCCAGTACTGAATCTGGACAGTACTGGGCTCCACCTGATGGCAGAAAGTTATTAGTTCCACCTTGTGCCCTGGAGGAGAATGAGCATCTCTGCTTTTCCTTAGGCCTACTCAACATGAAAGCTCCATCTTTGAGGGTTCCCTATAGCCCCATTTCTTTCCAGCACTTCATGCCTCTGCCTTACTGCAAACACTAAATCAATTTTCCTTAATTGGAACAGCACTTGATGAACGTAGAGAAACAAAGAGTCAGCTGATAAGATGATAAGCTATAAAGTTAGTAACATTGTCTTTACTTACTTAGGGTAAAGATCTAAGCCACCGATTTTTTCTCATTAGCTCCTGTGTTTGGATGATTTACTGAAATTCTTTTTATTTACATTTCAGGTTTTATTGGACAATTACCGTTCTGTTGTTCGTAATCAAGGTTCAAAGGTAGATGAGATGGAGACAGACTTCATTAATCTGAATCGTGATGTAAATGCTCTCCAAGAAAAGGTGACTTGCTAAATTAGTTAAAAAGTAAATCTCTCTTAACATTATTTTTTTAATCCAGATATCTTTAACACATTTGCCTTTTTTTCTCTTGCTAGGCTGAAATGAACTACAAAACAGCAGAGAGATTATTCAATAATTTTGGTGAAACTAATCAGAAGGGAAAGGATTTGGTTTCAAGAATACAAATAGTTGTCAATAACATAAAAGGTAAAATGGTTCCAAAGATTTCCAGTATGTTTTGCTTTACAGTCTGCTTAAAATATTCTTAAGGAATCGTGAGATGTTTTTCAGAAACAGCTTCATAAAATGAAAAGTTAGACATAGCTGTGGAATTCAATCTTAAATACAATGCAAATTTAAGTGCCAGTCCTCCCTATATATTGCATAGGGATAGAGGTGCTTTTTCAAAGGGCAGTTTATAAGCTGTGTTTGACTATCCCAACTTTAGCCTGCATTGCTAATATAGGGTATTTGAAATACTTAAAAATATTGCTGGGAATTTAATAATTTTGGACAAACTTCAAGCCCGATTTTATGTTACTGACTTTGGTGGTGTGACACAAGGTACTTTTCAGATTTGTATAAATAACACAAAATTCATTAGTGAATTCAAGAACAGGCATGTCCTTCTCACAGTGGAGGGCAGCTCTGTGATTTGTCTCTATTGCACAGGCTTAAGTGCATCCTCTCTTTGACTTCTTTTGACTTCTCTTTTTTTCAGTGCTCCTGGAACAAATAGCTGGTACCAATGCAGAAAGTAACAATTTGCCCCTGGGGGACGCTGCCAAAGAACTGGCTGATGCCCAGCGCATGATGGCAGAGATGCGAAACCACAACTTTGGCCAACTGCAGGCAGATGCAGAGCAGGAGAGAAGAGAAGCTCAGCTGTGTAAGCACTTGTGCTCCCAGCTTCTGCCTGTGGCTCTTAGATCAGGCTCTTAGTCCTAAATCCGAACCTTTATTGACTGTTTGGGGAGGAACATTTTGAAAAATTTTGCTGGATTTGTAGTAATTGTTAGTCAAAACTCAACTAGTCATTTTGTAGGGGATTTAAAGGCCTTTCTATTTTGTTATGAAAGAAACCGAGAAAGAAACCCAGTACAGCCCTCTTTAATCTTATTAGAGGAATATCACTAAAAATGTAGCCGATTATATATACTTACCCAGTGCTTCTGTGTGTTATAGTATGTAAGATATTTTAGAAAAATTACACATGTGATTTAAAGTCCCATGTTAAGAAGCCATTAGAATAATAGAAGGGTCATGCAAGAAAAGGATGAGGAAGAACAGAAGTTTTCCTCCTACTCCGTTGTGTGTTCTGTGCGTGTGTTTGCCTGGGACAGCCAGTAACCTGACTCTGCAGAGACAACAAGGGTAGCAGGGTCACAGAGTCTCCTATGCAGGGGCAGAGCTGAGAAGTGTGAAGGACTTTGTGAGTGAAATTTGTCTTCCTTAATTTTGGATTTTGTTATGTACCTGTAAACAACTCTTCTGTATCCTATGTATAGGCAGCAAAATGGACACTTTTTAAGAATGTGATTCACTTCACCTGGTTTAGGCTTCTGCCTTCAGTGAGATGAAATATGACCTGGAAGTGCATGTATATCTCTGCTAATGACAGAGAAAGCTTTAACATCTGGTTGGGATGTAGGTGTCTACATTGTAGCTGAAATTGCGTTTCATATTAAAACAAAAACAATTCAATATATCTAGAAGATGATCTTTACTCAAAATTTAGTTTAAAAATTGCCAAATAAATGTTTTCTGTAAGAGTAAGCTCTGTGTCTGCAGCAACAGTTTGGTGAGTGAGTTCTGGCCAGGGAGATGGAGAATAACATCTCTGCTATGGTATTAGTGATGCTGTAGTGATGCGAAGGATGCTTCGTCACACCACCACTGCTTTCTAATCCTAAATCTTTAGACCTAATGAAGGAGGTTTGTTTTGGTTCCCTTCTTTGAACAAAGCTTTTCTTTCTGGTTCCAATACTGCAGTACTGGCACATGTTAAGAATGAGCTACAAAAGTACCACCAAGAAAATCATGGGCTTGTTAGAATTGTGCGGGATTCACTGAATGAATATGAGTCCAAACTCACTGATCTTCGTGAAGCTCTGAATGAAGCCAGTGGACAAGTCAAGCAGGCTGAAAATTTAAACAGAGATAACGGAGTTCTGTTGGAAGACATTAAGGTAATAGCCCTTGGGGGTTGGGAGAAGGTTAAATCTCAAGAGATAGGGAGTGTTTTTATTGCTGCTTTTGATCTTACAAAGCCCAATGGCATAAATTCTTTAAACTTTCCCTGAAGTCTATTTCTATCAATCCACATAAACCCACTTATTAATGTAGTCTACTCCAAGTGTGGCAGTTTTAGTTGATTAGGACAGTGTGAAAAGGACGTAGGGGTGATGAGAGATATCTCATCAGAAAAGTCTCTGCCTATCCATTCTCTTCTGCTGTAACTTGCTATTATCCTCTTGTTCTAGGTGAAATTCTAAATTCTGATATATTGTAGTAATGTCCTTAAAGTGTATGACTTTAAAAGACGTGAATAATGCGTGTGCAATACTATTATTAAATAATATTAAATTATTTGGGAGTTAATATTCTACATAACTGCTTCTAAGTTCACATCAGAAAGATGAAAAGAAAAGCTGTTATTCTTGAACACTGCATAGTTTTTAGAGTATTTTGCTTTCTTTCTGACTTTTTAAAATTTTTAATAATATAACATATACCAGAGTGCTACAGTATCCGTCCTTTTAAGTGACTTGGATGTTTACTGAAATATACCACTGCTTTGCCCTGCTCCAGTTCTCTAGTTTGCTAGAACTGCTTGACAAAATAATTTCTACATTCAACTTTACCTTTAATAGTTAAGTTGTGCCTTTATGTGCATAGGCAGTATAACACATGTGTCATATCAGTAAGCACAGTTGTCTTCAAAGATGGTTGCATCCGTACATGTCATAAATATGTTGATGCTGATACAGTGCCCTGTTAGAGATTCAACATGTTACAGTGAGGGAAACCCCTTCGAAGAGGATGAACACTTGCTTATCTACACAGAATCCCAGAATGGTTGAGGTTGGAAGGGACCTCTAGAGATCACCTAGTCCAACCCCTCTTCTCTAGCAGGGACACCGAGAGCACGTGGCATAGGGAACTTAGTTATATCTAGAGTTATATCTTCCCATATAACTTGTCTGGTTGAGCTCATGCTGCGCCACTGTCCCAGAGCTGCAGTGTAAACTGTCTCAGGGCTGCTCTAGACCAAGAAATTTCATTTGTTTTCCCCTCCAAGTCTTTTCTAGGGGTTAAGATGAGGGGATTAAGAGGGGAACGCCTTACTGGGGAGGTTATCAGTGCAAGGAGTCATGTAAAGATATTATTCCTACCTCTGAGAAAGAGAAGTAATCACCAGGGAGCTGTTGATACCGTTTCCAAATCTGAGAGAACAGAGGCTTAGATGATGTGTCCATTTGAGTTGCCTGTTACTACTTTTTCATTCTCCAGGCATTAATAACTGGACTTCTGTCGCCTGCTTCTCAGCTGTCTTGAGGTACTCTGCTGTTACTACTGCAAATTCCTGAATTTTCTAACTCTTATCATGATTAAGATGGCATTAGATCACTGTAGCTATCTGATGACTATAGGAAAAGTATCTTTGAGCAATCCTTCTGCAATGTGTGATTTTTCTTGTCCTTCATTTTTGACCCAGTCACATTATTCAACTCTTTATTTTTCCTCAGAAACGGATTGACGAGACAAACACCCAGCAGAGCAACATCTTGGATATTTTGAGCTCTGCCCAAACGTCCTTGACACAAGCAAGCAGTGTACTTGGATTATTGCAGAAGAGCAAAGAGGTAAAATGAACTTGTTTAAGATTAAAGCCAGAAACTCTTGCTGTTAGTGTAAAGGGCAGCACATATCCATGTTCAGAACATGAGGCTTATCTGAGCTATACAAGAAGGGAAGGAAGAGAAAGATTTCAGGCTCTTAGAGGAGCCTGCCTGGACAAGCTCTTAGAAGAGAGGGTTATTGTGTATCTGAGCACTGAGCCACAAAAGATTGGGAAGGTAGCTGGAGAAATACTTAGTGTTAGTGATGGTGCTGTTCTTGTGCATCTCTCTAGGCTTTTGCCTTTAGCCACTGCCACAAGCAGGGCACTGTGCTGGAAACACTTCTGGTCTTACTCAGTATGGCAGTTTTTATGTTTGTACATAATGGACATAAAAGCAGAATGTAACCACTAGCAGTTATTTATAATAAACTCCAGAGCATGTTGTAAAAGGTTGGTTTTTCCCCTTGATCTTCTCGGGTGCACACCAGCAGTGACAAGGGCAAAATCAAGCATGTATGAACACAGAATAAATTTTATCTTTACAAACCCATAGGAATATGAAAGTCTGGCAGCTCAGCTTGATGGAGCAAGGAAGGATCTGAACGAAAAGCTGACAAATGGTTCCTTATCAGCCAGCAAAGAACCTCTGGTGGTGAGGGCTGAGGAGCATGCCAACTCTCTGCAAGCCTTGGCGAAACAGTTGGATGAGTATGTTACCATTCTTGTAAATGAGCAATTCTTGCACAGAACATCCATAGTTGCAATGTCTGTAGCTTCACTTGTTTCTATTACCAAATGCAATGCCAGAAAAAAAAATCTGCTTTTACCTTTTTCTGCCTCTTCATGATACCTGGCAATTTCTTGCAAGTTTCCTTTCTGCAGAAACATGTCTTTCTCTGTTTTACCTATTTTTCATGGTTTTTTTCTTGTGTTTTTCTTGGAAACTACTCAGGCTCAAGAACTTAGTATTACTGCACTACAACGACGTCATGAATTTTTAAAGGCAAGAAGGAAATTCCTCATGCAGTGACATTTAGCTTTTTGCCTTTTTTTTTTTTTTTTTTTTGGGTGATGTTTCAGTTATTTGCATTCTTATCTTTATGATCAGAATGAATTGGGACAAATACCTGGGGCAAATGCTATCTTGGCAGTCTTCAAAAATGCCTGATGAGCATTTAATGAGTTAATGCATTCCCATAGTTTTGTCATCCTTCAAGGAATCTTCTAGAAAGGCAAACACAGGAAAAACTTATGACTCTTCTATGACTCAGCCTCAGGTTTTCTTTCTCCTTTGTTTGTACTTTACCTTGGAAATATGAGTGAGATTTTGAAAGCCTTTTATGGTATATCGGGAAGAAACAAAACAAGCAGAACCCTAATTTTTCCCTGTGCAAGTTGTTTACACTTTACTATATATAAGCTGCATATACCAGCTCAAAGTTAAATTAAATTCCAAACGACAAACAGCTGTGAAATTTTTAGTAAAAAAAAACTGTCTTTTTTGATAGTTTTTAGTATGACTTTTAATAAGACAGTGTTCACACAAATACCAGGTAGCTAATACTGGGAGGCAGCAGTGCTCGGGTGGAATGGGTGTGAGATATTTGCTCTGTCATTTCCAGTTTCAGAGCTATCGCACTGTTTCTAGCAGCACGACCAAGTCGTCTCCCTGCTGCTCTGTCTGTCCTCCGTCAGCAGCCACAAGTTATCGGGAAGCCCTAGTGCTCTGCACCACCCCTCTGAAGTGAATGGTATTTTGGGGGCTGTGATGGAGATGGTTCACTGACCCTGTGCCTCACTATTTTACTCACTTAAAAAGTACTTTGGATACCTGTAATATATCTAGCCAACTTGTCCTGTCTTATAAAGAATGTTTTCTTACTGGTCCACTTCTAGATTTGACATTTTTGCAGAATGAAATAGAAGAGCTAACTGAATAAACCTTTTCTGTATTGCTGTTGAATTAAAAATTGCCGAGTTCAGATCTGTTCAGGTTGCTTCCCAAAGTCTGTGGTCTTTGCAGAAGGCTGCATTTTTCCCCGTGTTCCCAACAGGATAAAGAACAGCGCCAGGCAGGACGGGTTGGTCAGCTGTGCTGTGGAGGCCTCCACTGCCTATGACAACATCATTAACGCCATCAAAGCAGCGGAGGAAGCGGCCAACAGGGCTGGCAGTGCAGCTGACTCCGCTTTACTGGTAAGTCCCCATGAGCAGCCAAGTGATGGTAAGCTCTTTTCAGCTAGCTAAAATATTTTATACTATCAGCGGGGCACCAGAATGAAAGACCCGTGTGTCTTAGCAGGCCTTGTTTGTCTGTGGCCCTTATATGAGGAAATTGCTGTGTTGCATGTTCCTGTATTGGTCTTGCTTGGGCACGAGGGCGGCTCCTTACTGCCTCTCTGGTGAGGCTGTCCATGTGAATACTCCTCATCCATCCCAGTGCAAATAAGAGGTCTGTATGAACCAGCACTGGTCATCACGGGAGGTGGTTTCAGCTCTTCTCTTTTACTTTGCTCTGGAAATGCCCCTGAGTTCTCCAGAAGGAGAGTAGTATCTAACAGCTGTAAATCTGTAACTGCTGTCTGATGCCTCAAGCACAATTATAGCTTTCTCAAAGTCTTTAAGTTAAGATAAAGGCTTAAGTTAAAAATTTCTCTGGGCTGCGTTAGGCTTAGATTAATCTGGGTATTTGTGGTTGGAGGGTCTTGTTCTTTATATGAAATCTCAGCCATTGTGTTTTTATCTTTTTAAACTGAATTGGAATATCTTTTGTTATTCTTTAAGATCTTAGTATAATTACTTAAAGCAAACTTATAGTACAATGCTTCTATTATCAGACAGTGAAGAGAGAAGACCTATCAGGAAAAGCTGCAAGGTTAAAAGCTGACAGCAGTGCACTCTTGAATCAAGCACAAGAGACTGAAAAGACCTTGAAAGGTACCCAGAAAGAAACCAGAAAATGTTGTCACAATACTAGAGATTTTCATGAAACGCTGCAGTTTGCACAGTTCAGCCGAGCACTTCTGCACACATTTAAGCAAAGAGCCATTAAATGGGAAACTGCCATGATAGTTATCCTCACTGTCAAGGTGGTGATGTGTCCAGCTGTTCCCTCTGCCCCCTTTTTGCAGCATTCCTCCCCAGCAAAGCTTCCAAGCCTTGCCTTTGTTTTGTGCAGTGCATTGCCCAGAGGCAATGCAAGATCTGTTCAGTTGTGCAGGCTGATGCTACCACAGCATCTGTCCATCAGACAGGTGGCACGTCTATATCAAACTTTTGAGGTGGATTTACTGTTTTGCAGTTATTGGTCCAAACCTTGAAGACATAAATCGAAGAGTCGGTGTCGTTGATGGACAGAAGGATGAACTAAAAATTGATCTTGTCACTCTTCAAAATAATCTCAATGGCATAAACAGAGGTCAGTTACTTCGTGTTGCTCACTTTTGCTGTGCCTCATTCACCTGTCCCCACTGGAATCTGCACGTGTGTTTGTGTGCGTTTCAGACGACATCGACAGCAAGATCACCGAGGCAAAGAGCATGGTGAAAAATGCCAAGGATGTCACGACTAGTGTATTAAGTGAATTGCTCCCAATTCAAGCAGATGTGGAAGAAATGAAGGGTACCTATGGAAGCACCCAGAGTGCTGACTTCAGGAAGCTGTTGATGGAGGCAAACAGTTCAGGTGGGTGCTGTAGGCGCTGCTGCAAGGGCTCGCTCTGACACCTGTCAAAGCATTTTTAGGTGAACCTAAAAGTACAGCAGCAAGAATGGTCGTCTCTAATTTTAGTCACCTACAAATCAGGCATGGAGCCTGTTCTCATTATCTGAGCTTCCTTTATTGCCAGGGAAAAGAGAAGGGCCTGCAGAAGTTAATGCAGGCCATGCTGAGATATGAGTTTGCATTTAATATCATGGTTTGCCTCTGAGATCTTATTTTCTAGTACACTGAGAACAGCAAAGGCCTAGGTGATTAGGTTGTTGGCTGAAATTAAGTGGATTCCACCCTTAGCATCAATTAGCAACAAAAACCACGAAAAATACAAAACAAGGGGCAATTACAAAGCCAAATCACTTACATGTATCTTTTTTTCATCTTTTTAGTAGCTGTAGGTGATAAGTTCAAGAAAGATAAAACATTCTGAATAAACAAGATAATTGTAACAGCTGGCACTGCATGTCATCAATCGTCCCTGCTGTTTTATTTATCTAAATATTAGGTCTATTTTTAGGTCTGGTAGTGCTTTTAAAGGAAACATTCATGTCTCTCTTATTTAGTAGCTATTTGTGGAACCTTTCTGATCCTTTTTGGAACTGCTAATTTTGTCTGCTTTCACAAATACCTCTGGTCACATATTCCAGGAATATTTTATCTACTGTGTAAGCTGCTCATTTCAATGGGAAATCCATAGTACTGTGGAACTAATAAAAACGGTTCTGCAGTCACTGCTTTTGTGATAACCATGTAATCCTATCTGTTGTGTCATTATGATTTTGTAATCATAGCTCATATTTCACATCCATTTTCCTCCTCCTTTTTGCACTCAATAATGTTTTTTCTTTCATTTCAGTAACGATATTGACAAACACACTTCCAGATCTATTCAGCAAGATTGAGAGCATTAACCAACAGCTAACGCCAATGAACAACATCTCTGAGAACGTAAATCGCATAAGAGAGCTTATTCAGCAGGCAAGAGATGCTGCAAACAAGGTCTGTCCTGAACACTGTCCTGAACTGTCCCATCATGATAGACCTCAGTGGGATGGGTACACAGCAGTGCTTTTATAAATGCCTCTTTCTAAGTCACATTATTAAAATGTGAATGAAAGACAGGACATAAATTCAACCCAATAGCAGCACCCAACACTTAGAGCAGCTATGAAGATGGGAAATACAATAATCAATATATAACAGAATGGATACAGTATCATCGAGCTTCCTTCCTTTATCCTGTAGTTCTTTTCCCCAGATTGTCTCTAAAATCCCTATTTGCACATAGTATCTTTCCTTCCAAGATACATTGTGGTGACTTTCCTTTGGCAGCAGGGGTAGAATCAGCTCTGTAGCTCAGAGGCAGGTTCTCCACCAGCGCATGATTTAGGGACACCTGACACATCCTAAAAAGCTGTGCACGCTTGTGCTGCTGGCTCTGGTGTCTCTGTATGCCTCCCCACATTAGAAATCAGCTGAAATATTCTTGTTCAAGTGCTCTTTTTCCATTTGAGCAGCTGCAGTAGTTGCTCAAGGGATGGTGGTCTCAGGTAGTAGCAGGATCATCCTTGAGGTAAGCACAAGTAGCCTTGTAATGAATGACACGAGTCTGGACCCTGGTGTAAATAGCTGTAATAAAAGATGTCTGTATTGATAGTGGTGCCTTTTAGTTTCCAGCAGTCAAGCCCGGCTAAGTGGCACGTACAGATGTGCAAACAGATGTGTAAGGTGTTTGCAGGTCTGCTCTTCCGAGCTGCCAGGCACATCCTGCCTCGGTGTTCAGCAAACATAACCATTACCTGGCACAGGAGCAGTAAGGGTTGACTCCCAAATGCTGAAGGAAAGAGGTGCTGTGTAAGTTCTAAGTGTCGATAATACCATTTTATCCATCCTAAATCCTAGTTCTGTTATTTGATAGGAACAGAGCCATTCATTCAGGCTACACAGAGATAAGCAGAAATACCTGCAGCAGCTACTTTTAACTTCAATGTTTTTTTCTTTTCTGAATAGATTGCCATTCCCATGAGGTTCAATGGCAGCTCTGGGGTAGAAGTTCGACCTCCAAGGAACCTTGAAGATTTGAGAGGCTATACTTCCCTGTCTTTCTTCCTCCAAAGACCTCAGAAAAGATCGGATATCCTCCAGAGGGCACCAAATATGTTTGTCCTGTACCTGGGTAATAAAGATGTAGGTATATTTTGCAACCTAATACAGCTTTTAAAACGAGTAACATTCTTTGAGAAATAAATGGGACACAGTTTCTTTTGTTTGAGGTTTGTAGCTACCATTAGCCTAATTTTTTTTTTTTTTTTTATGATAGCCATTATGTTGGGGAAGAAGTAATTTAAGAGCACTTCATTCCTCCACTGGCAAAGTTACTTGTTGGGTGAATAACTATTTTCCTCTTCGATAGCGTATTGTTTTGGTGCTTCAGAAGTTACTTCTCAGTTATGGATATCATCATATATTCCTATATTCTTGCCATAACAGTCTGTATTTCTTCAGCAAACATTTCATTTTTTTTCATTTCATAACAAACATTTCATTTTTTTTCCTGCAAAAGAGATGCCTAATTGTGTATTTATATGTCTCATGTCCATAATGAGTCTTACACATATATTGTCAGCTGTTTAAAGGTAGTTACTCTACACTGGATTTCACCCTTTTTCTCCCCTGGACATCTGGCCAGGATCCGTATTGATAGAGATCTTTTTTTTTTTTCCCTTGGGAAAGATGGTGTGTTGAAGAAATAAAACACAATTTTGGGCGGGAAATAAATGTTTCTAGTCATTTCAGTAGGAGCCATTGCACTTGACAGTGTTTTCCTTCTAATGTTCTTTTTATTTCTAAGATTTTATTTCTTTATTTTCTTTTTATTTCTAATCCTTATTTCTAAGGATTGTTTAGTCTATATTTTTAGTAAGTATGTCACATATTCATGATTTTAGCTGAAAGATGTTGTAAAAGTGGAAGTTATTTTAACTATTAATTATAAAAGTTATAATTATATTAATTATAATTAAATTATAGTTAAATTATAAATACATTCACTGAATCAGTAGAAGACAGGGGACTGCAATTTATTCTTCCCAGAAGTAGAAATGATGAACTTAATGAAAATCTGATCACAGTGCTCTATGTGTTAGGGGAGTGGGCTTCTTGTGACTCATTCACAGCATGACATTATCTCTGAGAATCATCACACGAATCCCTTCATTAGTGCTGATTTGCTTGGCTGTTCCCAGGCTTCCCAGAACTACCTTGGCATGGCCCTGAAGCGTGGTCGCCTCACCTGTGTCTACAACCTGGGAGGCAACGAAGCAGAGATAGATGTGGAGCCGCTGGTGACCGAGAGCAACTCCGAGGAAGCCATTCTGGATCAAGTCAAGTTGGAAAGGTAACAGAGGCACGGTACCCAAGAGATGCACTCTTACAGAACCTGTTAAGAACATCTTTTTTAATGAAATGTTATCATTTTGCCTTTCTGTTTTCATTTTAGGATTTACCAGTATATGAGGCTGAATTACATCAAAGCGGCTACATCAACTTCTCCAGAAAATGAAAAGCCTTTGGATGGGAACAGTGGAGACAGTCACACTCTCCTAAACCTTGATCCCAACAATACTGTCTTTTATGTTGGAGGATACCCACCAGATTTTAGGGTAAAAAGAATTGCTTAGTCTTTGTAAAAACATTTCAGTATTGATTATTTTGTTGTTCTTACAATTAAGACTGTAACTAGCAGTCTTTCAAAGGTGGGGTGCCAGGCTGTGCTCTTGCCTGCATGAAAGTTTATCCATGCAAGCAGGAACGAAGCGGGAGGAAGAAGATGCTCTGTCCTACAGAAGCTGCCTGGCTTGCAGGCTGCTAGAGCACAAAGGGAGCATAATGTTTTCTTCATCTGATGCCATACATGACCCTGTATAACTTGTGCTGTAGCACCCCTGGGTGCTGTTGGACAATTTGGATATTATATCCAAACAATAACTTTATGCTAATTTAGAATATCATATTCTGTGTCTTATTGAAATTTGCAGAAGGTATGATAAGTTACATATCAATATAATTTTTTTTCAGCTGATGCTAACAGTATGTTTTTAATGACGCTATTTTTGCAGCCTCCACAAAAGCTAGACTATCCTCATTATGAAGGCTGCATTGAATTAGACAGCCTAAATGAGAATATTATCAGCCTGTACAACTTCAAGAGGACATTTAATCTCAATACCACTGAAGTGCAACCATGCAGAAGGTATGATATAAACACAGGAGTGTTTTACACTAAGAAATTCACAGTTCTGTTATTTTATCATCAGGAATTCTTGTTTCTTCACATCCAGGAGAATAAGCACTACAGCAGAACTAGTGATTTTTCTCTAACTCTTGATCATGAAATACATTTCCTAGAGAAAACCTGCGGTGTTGACAACATTCCTGTCTATGGCAATCTCAATCCAATGGCCAAGATTTTTAATATCCAGACAAAAGTTTAAGCCCCTAATCCATGGACTAATATATCCAGCTTCTTTTTAGACTAAATATTATATTAAGTGGAAAAACTCAGGCACTAAAAATTTAAATTCTTTTCTGCTGTGAAGACCATAGGCAAATCCAACAGGCCCCAGTGGAAGGCTTTCTCTTCACACGGGTTAGATCAGAATTGGTCTGGTTGTGGCATCGTTCCAAATGCTTTAGCTGAAGTTTTTTATAAATGATGATGACAGTAAGTCCATGTAGAGGGAGTTTTTGCTCTTATATAATCTTGTCTGTGACGTTGCTACAGGTATAAAGAAGAGTCTGACCAAAGCTATTTCGAGGGCACTGGTTATGCCAGTGTCTCATCTAAGGAAACAAACGCTTACATGACAGCACGCTATGAGCAGACGATTCAGACCACTGCAGATGAAGGGCTCGTGTTTTTTGCAGCAAATGAGGTAACTCATGGAATGACTCTGTGGTGTTCGGTGGTACAAGAATTTTTTTAAAAAACGTCACTTAATTGAGAACATGCTAGATTAAGTAATAACTGTGATAAAGTTTATTGAAACTGTTATGTTGGTCTGTGTTACAGGTAAGTATATTCTGCTGTATGTTTTATAGCTGTTATAGCTGAGAAAATATCGTTCCAGGTAGTTCCTCCATTAGACTGTTCAGAGAATTCAGAATTTCACAGCATCACAAAATCACAGACTGGTTGAGGTTGGAAGGGACCTCTAGAGATCAGCTAGTCCAACCCCCTGCTCCAGCAGGGACACCCAGAGCACGGGGCACAGGGCGGCATCCAGGTGGGTTTGGAAGATCTCCAGAGAAGGAGACTCCACAGCCTCCTTGGGCAGCCTGTGCCAGGGCTCTGTCACCCTCATAGGAAAGAAGCTCTTCCTCACATGCAGTTGGAACCTTTTTTTTTTTTTTTTTTCTTTTAATTTAATTTGAGAGATTTCATTTTGTAATTTAAATCAGATCAATTCTGAAATATTGAAATTCTCCAAAAATGGGATTACCTCCTCCTTCCCAAATCTTGATGTGCTTGGTAGCACAGTAAGAAAGAGTTTAGAAAGTGGTTAAAGCTGGTCAAAATACAGCAATGGTACTACTTATCTGGCAATATTTTAAGAATGTTTACAATCACTGTTAACATGTACTAATAATTTCTTAGTACTGTAAAAGATAGATGGGCATCTTTAAATAAGAAAAAGTCTTTTAGTCTTGGACAACTTATGTTTATTCACAAAAGTAATTACAGTGACTAATATAAGTTCTAAGCTTTACTGAAATAACTAGATAGCTTCATTAATTCACATGACAATGAAATATGCATGAAATGTTGCACAGTTTAATTTTTGTTTGTGATTTTGTTCTTACTGCAGGACCAGTTCATCAGCATACTCATTAAAAATGGTCATCCTGTTTTTAGATACAAAATTGGCACCGAGCCTCCAAAGGAAATAGAAAACAACGCGACTGTAAATGATGGAACATATAAACAAGTATGTCCTTCCAAACAATAGAATGACCATCACTTGTGAAAATACACATTAGCTGAAACTAAGGATTAGTTTGATCTTGAAAATGAATCTGCAGGCTGTCTACTCTCATGCATTCCTGTGAGCACATTTGATTTTTATGAATAGCCATAAGAGAAAAAAGCCTTTGTGAGAGCATTGCTTTATTAAGAAAGTGCTGTGTTCATTGTAAGTATCCACATTATTTTAGTATGAAGGTAAGTGGTTTTAGCAGCTAAAGGTTTATTTTTTCAGGGCAGCCTGATCCTTATGGAGATTAGTTTTTGTAATGTTTCTGTTTTGTCTGCTTAGCTTCAGTCCAGCTGTTTCATTGTGCTACAAAGTGAAATTTTAAGGACTTGGTTAAAACCTTTGGTGGTGGTTTGGATTCCTTCTCCCTTCTCCCCTTCCCACATCTTCAGCTACATAGCAGAAGTTGCAGGGCCTGCTGAAAGGAGTCTTTATGCTGTATTGGGGCAAGTCACCTCCAGTCAGTTGACTGATCTACTCTTTGTAGCAGGTCTCAGCTCCTCAATCTTCAACTGCAAATAGAAGGCAACCTGTGGATGGTAGGTGAGGTGTATTTTTAGGGCAGTCTCCCTAAGAAGAATAAAAACTCACCTTAGAGTGTTTTCTTCTGACATTTGTTTGGCTAAAATGCCAAAGTTTTGCAAAGTGCTTTTGTCCATTACAGCTATTCAAAACTTAAGGTCTGTAAATGAAGTAATTCTCATTATTCATCTATTTCAGATTAGTTTGGTGATTATCAGAAGTAACAATGCTGTTCATGTCAGTCCTGGTATTAGTGTCAATACGAGAGTCTTCAGTTTCACTAAATACTACCTGGGTGGAATTCCATCTTCTCTCCGGGAACGGTGAGTTGCTACAAAAGGACTGTAACATACAGCCTTTTTTATGGGGCATTCATCTGAATTCTTTCCTTGGGTACCTTTTTTTTCAAATTGCATAGTGTGTGTCTTATGTGATTTGAAAATACCTGTTCATAATACGTGATCATAATCTCTGATTTTGGGCTAGTGTTGAGTTCTTTGTTGGAGTGTGCCCTGAGGAAAGATTTTGATCAGTGTTAAGCACATGTGTGCAATAATGATTGCTTTTGTTCTATTTTTCTATTTCTTATTTTACTGACAACATTTATGGGCTATTATATTGGTGAATACTTTGCAAGAGCAGGCTAATGAATTCTTTCTTTCTCCTGCACTCCCTGAAACCAGCTTTAATATATCTACACCTCCATTCCGGGGCTGCATGAAGAACGTTAAAAACCCTAGAACTGCATCTGTTATTTTTGATGAGACCGTTGGTGTCAGCAAGAAATGTTCAGATGACTGGAAGGTAACTAACATAACTGCTTTTAAAAATTTTGCAAGGTATAAAATTCATGCTCAAAAGTGATCACTAGATCGTAGAGTCTGATTTGTCTATAAAACCTTATTTTACTTACATGAGGTCATAACTTATGTTTGGTTAACGTGTGGTGATAATGAAGAGCCACAGGTTAGTATGAAAATAAGAAAGAAAAGAGAATCCACTTGGGTACTTTTTTTCAAGTGCATAGTCTACCATGGGAGAATATATTTCATTGTTGGCTTAACAAGTATTGTGTGGAGATGAAAATAACCCTTCTGCTTCTATTTGCTGCTGTTTACATGGTGCACAACTGCATTTGCCCCATTATAGCATTGCACAGAAACTTTGTGTTCATTTGTTTTCCTTCTGTGATCTCCAAACCTTTCACACAGCAGTTTCATTGCAGGCTCTTTCCCTGTGCTGAAGATCTGGCCTTCATTCTCTGTTCATATCTGTATAACTTGCCATGCATTAGAAAGCATTTTGTTGAAAAGGATCCAGGCATACTCTGTGCCAGGACCCCACAGCTTCAAATATGCATGTTCCTCTTCACATCGCTGTACCTACAAAGTATTTCTCCAGCTGCTCACTTGGGTGCTTCTGAGTGTGAAAACTTATAAAACTGTCCTGTCAGTGCAAACAGTAAAGTCAAGCAATGTATTATATTCAGCAGACCTCTTCTGCCTTTAGAGTTTCTCAGATGATAGGTAATTCCAGTGAAACCAATTCAGTTAATCTGTCTGTACTAAAATACTGAACTTTCAGATTACTTTCTATTTGGTTTTGGCTGGAATCAAGCACGTTTATGTTAAATTGAGTAAGGCAGTTATTGTCCTATGTTGTCATTTCTTCACACTAAAAGGAAAATCACTGCGAGCTCTCACTCTGACCTCTTTTTCAGATTGTCAGATCTGCAGCTTTCTCCAGAGAGGGAACCCTGAGCCTGAGTTCAACAGGATTCCCATTTCCCAGAGATTTCCAAGTCAGCTTTGGCTTTCGCACTGTGACGTCAACTGGAACACTCTTAAATTACAGTGTATGAGTATGAATCCTGTTTACCTTAGAATATGTGTTTGTGTTTTGTTTTTTAATCAGTCATATACAATTGTGACCGTGTCAGCGTTGGCATCACAAATAAGTCTTTTGAAAATGGCATCTTGCATATAACAGAGCAAAGAAATAGCCTGATAATTTCTTCCCAAAAATTTCTTCCCCGTCATACTTTGTTTTATGAGAAACAGAGCTTTGAATTTGAGCCTTCTGTAAAGAAGCAGTGCCTGCCCCATTACACCATCATCCCAGTATCAGCAGTGTTACTTAATAAAGTTCTCTGGAAGTTTTTCTGAGGGAAAAACTGCCTTTCTGTCCAAAATATTACTATGATCAAATATTCAGTGGGAAAGGGCTGATTTGGGCTCTGTTTCCTTGGGTTCAATCACAAGCCCACTCCTGCTAGCTGCAGGAGCTGATGATAAGGAGCGAGTGCAGATCAGCCATCGGAGAAGTGGAGAGTCGAATCCTCTGCTCTTTGTAAGGATGATTTAAACAAGAAGTGTAAATACCTATCTGGCCTTCAGCGTGCAGGAGTATTCTAAAACAGGCACTATGCAATTTGTAAAGAATGGGAGTAAAGGCTGGTAGTAGATTACCCAAGAAATGTGTTTTTAGGGTAGGTTGATATATTTCCACAAGCAATGTAAGATACAGACAACCCAGAAGCAAGACATATTACCCCTGTTCTTAGCACTGAGAGCTGTATTAATGGCAATATCAGGGAGAACTGAAGGAACTTGCATTTATTGATCATTCTGTGGGATTCTTTTTTTAGCCTAATAGTCTTCTCGTCTTCCTGAGACCTGGCTCTGTAGTGGTAAGGATGGGAGAAACAGAAAACAAACTGGACAAGAAGTATGAAGATGGGTCGATGCATTATGTGACAGTCATAAAAAATGATGACATGTGAGTTCAGTTCTGTATCTGATTCTTTAATCTTGTAGCTGGAGAAAGATTAAGATTTTGTGTGGCTTTTTCTTTGGGTACACAGCTAAAAATGGCCTGTGCTAAGAAAGGAGAATGAAATAATGAGGCAAAAGGAGATATTTGGTCTGTGAATTTGCATGCTTACCTACTAAATTTCAGCTGTGCCTCAATATGGATGTCTTTCTGTATATACTGTGGGTTTTTTCTGCTTGACAAGCCTGAGCTTTGGAGCTCTTTCTGTTCCCTTAGCCTTTAAATGTGTCATCGCGAGGTATAAATCTACCCAGCACAGGTGGTTAGAGGCCCAGAGAAGAGGGTAATAATTGTCTTTCTTCTCAGGAGTTAAATAAAATTTCCAGAAAAGCTTCTAAATCATGCTGATTTTTGAGGATCATATAAAATAAAACTGCTTGCTCAAGAAGAAGGTTTTCAGAGATTGTCTCTAATTTAGGCTAATTATAATTTTTAATATTTTCCGTAGTAGCTGTTGCTAACATTTTGCATTTTGATGCACACAATGAAATCTCTCCCATCACTGGCAGTGGGAGATTTTTATTGAATTTCTGTGAGATCATAACCCTAGCACTGAAGGGCTAGCTTTAGCTTTGCTAAATATCTCCCAGTGAGAAGCAGGGTGATTCTCACGGAAGTCAGGAAGCACATAGTGACGTAAAAATTCCAGAAATAAGGCAATTCCATTGCATTATTAGAATGTAACAGGGGGACACCTCTCAAATACTTCTTTTCTCATTCTTTCATTCAGGTGCATAACTCTTCTTTGGATTTCATGCTTATCTGTATTCACCTTGTTTCAGACTAAGACTGCTGGTGGATGATGAGCCTGTGTCAAAGACTGTTGGCTATTCAGGACGACAGCCATTAGCCCAGCCTATAAGATTTGGAGGAGATGATTTTGAAGGTTGCATCTCAAACGTCTTTATAGAAAGGTATTTGGCCTAGAAAGATCTTCAGTTTCAGGCATTTTGATCTGCTTTCGTTTTTGATCATATAAAGATTGCTTTTTCCTAAATTGCTTTTCTTTCATATACATGAAGCCTTCATTAAAACATAATTTTGCTGCCCCAAAATAGGCTTTTATTCAGACATACACATAGTATTATTCAGATTTATTCAGATTACACATAGTATCAAGTTATGATGAAATCCATTGTTCAGATGTAATGGAATTTTAGGCTGAATGATGTGTTTTTAATAGTCTTTTAATTGAAGAATAAACTTAGTGTGGTGAATTGACCATGTCCCACCCTAGATTTTGTCTTTATAGCTACCCAGGAGCCAGGTAATGAGTGAGCAAGGCTTACAGAGAAGGCCAGAACAAAGAAATGGGAGCAGATGTCTGATTTATGTTCTCTCTTTTTCATATGTGTCTATCTGGTTATTAGAGGTATCTTACATGTGACATTTAGGAGAGAAATTTGACATAAAAGTATTGTTTAAATAAAAGCATTCTTTCAATTACAAGTGTTCTCCCAGTGGGACTTTTTCAGCTGTTCATCAGTGTTTGAGCATTCATCACATGTTTGATGAATGTTTGTACACATGTGGTTTTACCAAAAGGAATGCCTTTTGATTTGGTTAAATCTTCTTTGAAGTTTGAACAAGACTCTGCAAGACAGCAGATAACCTCCCTGTCAAAAGCCGAACTTGGAGAGTTATTTTCAATATAAAAATGAAAATTTTTAGGTGGACAATTTATACCATCGCTAGTGCGATCAAGTGAGTGGAGAACTGAAATGTATTCAGGAAACTGGATTCTGCTCCCAAATCTTAGAGAAAACAAGGGGCAAGGAGCTTCATTGATTTTTCTCTGTTGTGAGGTATATTATAGCTTACTGATTAAACATACTCTGTAAGCCCTACAAACTGATACACAAATTCTTTCTACACATTGGCAGTTGGTTTCAACAGTCTTTCTGATAATCTGGCTCTAATAGCAGAGCTGCATATCAAGGTGGGATAGACTTTGTCCCTTGGCAAAGCTCAGCAGAACATCTGAGTGAGGAGGGAGTGGTTGAGTGAGCAGGCCTTGATGTCTCTTTTTATTATTATTTTTTCCTTGATCTGCGCTGTCTGTTCCTGTATTAACCACAAAATTTTGTGGTCATATCCAGAATCTTACTCAGCCAAGGCTGCTGTCATTCTTTCCCCTTTTCTCAATGGCAATAGGCTTTTTACCCAAGCCAACCTAAAAAAATATTTTGAAGAAAAACTGAAATCAGCTGTAATATGGAGGAGGGGAAAATTGGTCCTTCAGCATCGGGTGACTGAGAAATCTCTGTTGTACAGAGAACAGTTGTACAGTGTGCTGCTGAGTCTGTTGAAGTGGGTTACAGCACGTGCTGCTCTTACCTTTGCAGGGCAGGGCAGCTCCCGGCGGTTCAAAATCTAGTTGACTACACCAGGAAGAGCGGCGTGGCGCTCGGAGCCTGCCACCAGTACCTGAACCCTGAACCAAGGCTGCTGCAAGAACTCAATAGTTCCATCACATTTAAGATGCTCAAGGTATGTTTATTTTTACAGTCTCCTCTTCTCCATATAGATACTGAGGCTTTGTCTGCACAGCCATGGTTTACAGGACTAAGAAACTTCACTTCTGTCTCACATTGCAGAATGAAAAATACCTTGGTTATCTGATGGACGCTGAGCTGCAGCAGGACCAGCAAAGCTCGGTCTTGTCTAATGTCACTCAGTTAAAGGTCAATAGTGGAGCCTATCTGTTTGGAAACACTCCCAACAGTTTTGTGTCATACACCTTTTCGCCAGTGTACCCTTCAGACAGGTAATACAAATTTTCTCTGTTTGCCTCACTTGGTTCTTCAACACTGCCTGAATCTTTGGGCTAAGAGCTACATGTTCTTCTTGCTGATGTCTTTGGGTGGAACAGAAGGATGGTTCTAAAGATTCAGGTTTTTCTTAGTTAACATTTCCCCAAACAAAAGCAGTATGATTGACTTTGATGGGATCGACAGCTGCACTACGTACTGATGCCAAGTCCTGAATCTGAACATGCCAACTTTCATCCACATGTAGGAACTGAAAGAATGTAGAACAGTGATTCTACCCAAAAGCTATTCTGCATTTTCCAAGTGGAGGGAGCTTCCCTGGCATTTTTCTGAAGAGCAGAAAGGTACAGCAATTTACAAAATAGACCTGCATTTGAGTGTGCTTTCTTGCCCCTATAGGTTGCATTTTTCTGTAGATGTGCGGACTCGATCATCAAGAGGATTAGTGTTTTTTGTGGAGGAGAGATTTGAGAACTCTTACCTGGCTCTCCACATTTCCAAAGGACGTTTTGTCTTTTCCCTTGTTTCCGGAGGAAAACGCTTCAAAATCAAAACCGATGCCAAATACAACGATGGTCAGTGGCACACTGTAAGTAACGTGGCATGGCAAGCACGGTTGGCCACCACCAGCATTCAGCAGGCACAGCCACCTCCCTTCCAAAGCTGCTGGGCAGGGCAGGAAGGAGCAAAACTGTTCCTTGGGGGCACCTGGAATTAATCCATGAGGCTGAATTTCCATGTGGCTCGCAGCTATCTTGGGAGAGGGCTCACAGTGACTTAAGGTCCTAACATGTTATTTTCAGCTTAAATATTTCAGGAATACTTTGTTAAAGAAAAGTTCTCCAGAAGGGCTCATTAAGATGCCCGTGGAGTGGGGAGATGCAGGTGTAGCAGGCAGTGCTCTGATTTTGTGTCACCCCCAGAGCTCACACAGTTATCCCAGTCATAGACTGTGGCCAGAGTGACCAGAACGGATCCCTGGGAGGCTGATTGATGGAGGAGGTGCAAGGTGCTCCTGCCATCTTGTTATTTGATGGAAGCATTTTGTTTATCTGCTTCCAGTTCCTGTTTTGCTTGTTTCAGACTAGGCAGAAAAGTGTATTCTTGCTTTAAAGCTCTACTGCGTCCGATGAATTTTTCTGAAAGCCCCTTCTGCTCTTCGGAGCACGAGCTCCGGTGTCCTTCCCTCGCCTTGGGATTCTCATTCTGTTATGTCTGCTCCCTGCAAAGGTGGCGTTCAGCAGGCATGGGAAGAGCATCCGCCTCGTCGTCGATGGGCTCAGGGCCCAGCACGGAAGACTGGGAGCAAGCTCTGCCGCCGGCATTCAGCCACCCATCTACCTGGGCGGGCTGCCCTCGCCGGGCCCCCAGGTGAGCACTGGGTGCAAGTGCAGCTGCTCCTGCACAGGCGCCCGCGCGCTCCCCACACGGCTTCCCTCGGCTGCACGGGAAACAAGTAGCGTGCTGCTTTCCCGCCAGGAAACCTTGGGGGGGATTTCCAGGTGCTGCCGGAGCACCTTTTGTGCTCAGTGTCCGTAGCTGGAGCACTGTAGAGCTCAGTATCTGTTGCTGGAGCACTATAGAGTTCAGTGTCCGTAGCTGAGCACTATAGAGCTCAGTGTCCA